TCAATCATCATCATCATCATCATCATCGTCGTCATCGTCATCTACTATTATTCATTTCCAGCATTTGCCGTTATGTAGGTGTCCTTAAAATTCCTTAAAAATCCGTTATAATCCCCATAGTTCCTTAAAATTCCTTTAAATTCCCTAAAATTCCTTTAAATTCCTTTAAATTCCGTAAAATTCCTTTAAATTCCCTAAAATTCCCCAAAATTCTCTAAAATTCCTTAAATTCCTTACCATGCAGGTGTCAATACTGTGTCTACATATAAATGCCTCAAAACCATCATCCATCAAGGTCCACACCAATCCGCTGCGGCATTCTTGCGGCGAATGCAGTTCCTGGATGCTTCAACGTTGAGCCCCTATTATTTCAAAAGAATGACAACACCCACAAAAAAAATGAACCACCACAATGGAGATGGCCACCAACAAAGGCTCAAATGATAAACAGGTGGATGGTTTCAACCTATTCCAAAACTTAAGACCAAGCGCGTACTAGGATAGAGGTTTGATTGTCACCTTGGAGTGTTCTTAGGTCAGTGGGGTTTGTCATCCGGAGTCTCGTGGAAGATTGAAACAAACAAATTCAAAACACCAACCTCCAGGGCCGTATGGGCATGCAATGTATGTTACATGTGATGGTTCACCGGTGTGGATTTGACCACTGAGTTGCGCATATCGCTCCCTACAGGTGGATTGATCACGGCTCGAGGCCCCGGGGCCGCATAGCCAAATAAAAGAAAAACACAGGGCAATCTATATCAATGATCCATCAATGACCATTAAATTACGTAGCCAATTATCATCAACTTCCATCAAGTTACCCAAGTTTTGACCATGGCAGGTATCTGGCAGATGAACCGCCTGCAGTTTAACGAATGAAACTCCAAAAAACATCGAAGCTCGAAGACTTGGATTTGATCCTTAGCAGCTTAGCATCATTGATGTCCTCTGGGAAATACCCTCTGGTAAACTAACATAGCTATTGAAAAATGCCATGTATAGTGGATTTTCCCATCAAAAATGGTGATTTTCCATAGCTATGTTAAATTACCAGAGGGTATGTGGATCAGTGACTACCTTTTGCCGCCCATTGGTTGTGAAGAATTGGGGGGATAACATCCTCGTTTTCACCACCAACCAATAGGAAAAGGACCTAAATCTTCGGCTGCAATCTGCAGAGTGTGGCTTTGGCCACAGCGGCGTCCTGCAAATCCGATCTCAAGCCCTTTCCATTGAAGACGATCTGTCCTCACCGAAGGAAACACCACCTTCACCACCCTGGGCCCTGCTGGATCAAGCTCATACCTTATATGTCTTGAAAGGTAACAGCCCTAGGCACATCATGTGTCATGATGTGTCATTTTATATCAGTTCATTTCATATCATTGAGATTCCTGACTGAAAATCATCAACTTTTTTTGTTTCCGGTGGGTTCCCAAACGTCACTCAAATTTCCGATAGCTTTGTCTAAATTTTACCTTTACTAAATGAAACTTCCAAATTGTGGAAATCCACTGGAAAACGTCCCAAAATATACTGAAGCGTTCATACTTGGAAGTTTCCATTGGATCCCAATGGGGTCGCAACGGTCCCAACCCACTCGCCTGCAGTGCCAACGCCGGTCTTCGCAAAATCCTGGGCTGCAAAATGCCGGTCTTCCCATGTTGGATATCACCGATATTCGATCGACGGTAAAAGCAATGGGAACTTCCTGAGCAAATCCAAATATATCCATCAGATCATCAGAACATCAAGTGAATCCAAGTGAATCACTATGAATCACTCGTATTTTGATCTGTTCTGATGGTGCCTTCATTGCCTTTCCATCTTTCTGACCCCAAGCTTCAACTCGTCACCGACTCGTCCCCCTTTGGTTCGCGCCTCTAAGGGGACGCCGCCAGTGTCATTTCTTCGACTTTCCCTGGCACTGAGACCTCCCAGGTGGCGGCTCGCTGGATTCAGGGGCCTTCCATTCTCAAATGTAGGAGAGAAGGAGATGAAAAAAAAAACAGATGAAAACAGATAAAAACAGTCAAACCCACTGATTGAATACCCAGATCTTCATGTTTTTGTTGATAGAATGTTGATAGATCGAACCGCAGGAGTGGACGACGTTTTTCACTCTTACTGACTTTGCAGGCCACCTGGGCTCCCACTTGATTTGAAAAAATGTCAGGGCCATATCCTTCGTGTCATCAACTCATCCCACTTGTGAGTCACTTCTGAGTCACTTGTGCAAAGTCTTATTGTTTGGACGTAATGTGGAAATATGTGGAAGGCCTGGGGTGTGACCAGATCGTCTGAGACACTCACATACTGAATACTGATCGATCGCCCTCATGGGTATGGCAGTGCTTGGAAATGGATGGAAATGGGCTCCATCATTTTTGACATGGCAGAGTGAGGCAGAGTGGACAACGGAAAATACTCCCGGAGTTTACTCAGGGTGTATAGTACCCCGATCAACCCATGGTCCATGGGGGTCCCGATGAGGCATCCTCATGAGTTGCGGATTCAATTCCAATTACTTACTGGTTTCAAGTTTATATACCCTCCAGTAAATTAACATAGACCCTGGCAGTCATCGGGGTTGGAAGATTAGTTTCCACTAAAAATTGGTCATTTTCAGGGTCCAACTGTTAATTTACCATAGGGTAAACCCATATAAACCCCCCATCTTTACGCTTTGAAATCCCCATGTTTGATGCCTAAAATGCCTATGTTTCATGGCTAAATCTGACTAAATCTGCCCTGGTTAGGCTTGGTTGAATCCACAGCCGCCCGACATTGCTGCGTGAAGGTTTCTCCACAGAGCCCCCGTGTGGCTGGGATAAAGCCTTGGTTGGGGAAAACTCAGCCCTTGGGACCTTGGGAATGCAACCCCCACCGGCTGAATTGGGTTGTAGCATGTTGTAGCCGTTGGAATCGAAGAGAATTGAAGGGAACAATGGGAACAAATGGAGAGCCTTGCTGGTTCGCGGCTGAAAATCATGATAAATCATGGTGTCCTGTCATTTGCTCCCTTGAGCTTAACCCGTTGATATCAGGCGTTTACATGCGTTTACCAAGCGAGATGGCCTAATCTAAAAGGGAGACTCCCATCTCCCCAAACATAAACCTCTCCAAATGGGACTCAAAAATGAAAATAGATCCAACATCTAAACCCAGATTTGTGGGGAATGTTCTTGTTGGGTCAAAATCTATATGAGACATCTGTGGCTAAATGGGAGTCCATTATTAGCTCGCTGGCGGGCCCAAAATCTCCAACATTTTGTGGCACATGAGCCCCACAGCTGGGCCATGAAACTAAGCCTTGGGCCCTTGTATTTGCAAATAGGCGGCATGGAGCGGAGACGATTGCTGAGGACTTGGGCTCGTTCCTCCTTGGCCCAGGATCCAGATTATGGGATCAGCACACAGCACACAAGTGCATGTGCCAATTTCTGACCAGTGTGCATGTGTAAAGGCATGGGCAGCAGCACGCGCAAATGCTCCCTTTCAGTCTTAAGCACTGCGCTTTGTACCTAAGTGTTTTAAGCATAACCCTCCGGTAATTCTAACATAGCTATGGGAAATTGCCTATGAATAGACGATCTACCTATTAAATTGTGATTTTCCATGATTTTCCATAGGCATGTTCTATTACCAGAGGGTAAATGTTCTTAGCCTACTCAGCTTCCTTGGTGGACCTGTCTCACTATGGCCCCGAATCGGATCTCTATCGCATCCCCCCGGCCTCGATGTTACCCTAGAGGCCATGGTTCATCAGTTTTTCCTGCATATCATGGCCATAAACATGGATAATTTAATATAATTTATGCATATTTATACCATCATGAATCATGTTAATCATGTTCGTTAAACATCGTTAAACTATCCCTTGTTGTAATGTTTATCCAATTGCTGATGCAAATTATCAACAAATCAAAATACATCAAAATACTATCCCCGTATTATCATCATGGTTATGAATCCACCTATTTTGAGAAAAAACTAAAAATCCAATTCTGGGTTAGATCCTTTTTCATGATCCTCCTGTACCATTGCCGCTTGAGGCTGCCACCGGTGAGGACGCCATCGCATCGGGCGTCAGCATGTGGCCAGGATGGGATCCAGTAACTCAGGGACTCAGGGTCCCAGGGGGCCAAAAAAAGAGGCACGGATCAGATGGGACACATTGGATGTGTTGGGATATTTGGGCATGGGCCCCAGTGTTCAGTGTTCAGTGTTCACCCCAAAATAGCTGCAAAATGCATGAATAGATCCACCCCAAATAGATCCAAATAGGGCATAAGTGGTCTTGATCCATAGCCATTTTTGGATGTGTTCATCATTTTCGGGTACCTAGCAGGTTGGCATATGTTGGCATTGGCTTCATTTTTGAAAGGACGGTCCCGGTGTTTCTTAATGCATTGCAGCATGGCGCCCCTGCACCAGATCGTCCACAGTTTCACTGACCAACCGGTGCCCACGGCTCCGATGCGGGGCCAAAATAGCCGCGGAGAATTCGTGGCAAATCTGCAAGGCACGAGGCCTCATTAAATGTGTTTGCCCTAAGTGAGCCATTATATAAGGGTAAATACCCAAATAAGGGACCCTAAAAGGGACCCTAAAAGGGACCCTAAAATCAATATTGTAAATTCTGTAGATTGAATAGATCCAATCCCAAACCAGAGCCCAAGGGGTTGTAATAAAAAATTGTCCAGACACCTCCGTATCTCGGAGGTACTGCCTCGAGAATAGGATTCTGGGACCTGTGCAGTTTGCACCATAGTTCACGAGGGACAGGGGCCCAAATTTATGATCACCGACTGGTGGCTGGGGGTACCCCGGAGTTCTCATCCAGCTATTAGATTTGGATTGTCCATGAAATAAACCATCCAGCTATTAGGGTAGCACCATTTTTCAACAGCCCAACACTTCTGGGCTTTAGGGGTGCCCCAAATTAGCCACATCCCCAAAATCACCTGAACTGCTAAACATCTGCACCGTGTTTTGCCTTCAGCAGAGGGTGCTACGGCGCAGTGGTTTCGCCCAGACTCACTCAGGGTTTGGCCCCTTCCTAGGTGGGGGGCAAGATACAAGGGGTACATATGGGTACATGACCTACTTGAGCCATGGTTTACCCTCCGGTAAACTAACATAGCTATTGAAAATTGCCATTTATAGTTGATTTACCCATCAAAAATTGTGATTTTCCATAGTTTTTTGTATGTTTACCAGAGGGTATGGGGTATGGTCGGTATGGTCATCCCATGACTGGATGCAAAGCCCCTATCATCCCCAGGGGATCATCGGATCATCGTCTCACCTTTTGGGAACACGGGTAAAGCAGATAAAGCTAACAGGATGAACCTCCAGCTTACTTAAACTGGGGTGGTAGCAAGTTCAACAATGCATTTTGGATATTTCTGGGGGTAACGCCATGTAACGCATCAAAATGATAAGGAATGAGATGTGGTGGGCCCAATTTCATGAACCATCCCCAAGTTTCCACCATAAATGGATGAGGCTTGGGCCGTGGATAGCCGTTAGAGGCCATCGGGTGCTTTGGCCGCACAGCCACGTCCACCAGACGACCTCAGTTGTTTTGCTGGGTGATTAGTGGCAAATCCATCTAACCCCAAAAACTCCCCAAAAAAAAATATAGGTCTATGGCCCTACTACAATCCATCTAGCATTGGATGAAGCCAGCGCTGGTTGCCGCTGGCTTGGTTTGAATCAAAATCTACAGGAAAACATGGTTTTACCATGCAAAAGTCATCAAAAATATGTGTCTTCTGCAACATTCCCTTGAAACTACTCTTGGAGGAACTATAAAATAGTCTACTCTGGCGCTCTAACAGGGCCATCTGGGAATTTCTCCGTTTCAGTACCCAAAAATGTCAAAAGAAGGCGGAACGTTCCATTCCATTCCTATCTTTTATTTCCAGAAGGTATGAAGTAGGAATGTCACGGGAAGGAGTATATAACCATCCTGGAGGAAACTCGGTATCCCAAATTGTCAGTTTTCAGCTGAAATTAATGTTGCTGGCGATCCCATTGCAGATGTTTTTCTTTTAGCTGTTCTATCTACTCCAAGATATTATCATGATTTAACCATGGTAAAATATGATTTACCCATGTCTTTATCATGATTTGTATACCTATGCTGGTTTCCCAAAGGCTGCTGATTTTCCCTCCGCCCCTTGAGCACCACTGCTGCGACTTGCAGCGGGATTGAGCCTGCCGACCAGCGCAGCATCCAAAGGAAACATAAAACGAACCAAGAAAAATGCACATATCCACACACAGAGACACATGATAATGATGACACATCTACAGTTATATACACATACATCCTGCAAAACGTGTATATGCTATATATATATGTATATATATATATATATATGTGTATGTATATACATATGTATGTATATATATAATGCATATGCAATGTATATACCATGTATAGATAATCACATCATATCACATCTAGACATGGCAATCAACGGGTCCTGCTGAAGGATGGTTCCAGGTTTCCGAAGCATCGGATGGAGCCCTCCAACTTCGACCTCCGGGGCGTGACTCCAGGGTCGTTCACGTGTTTTTTCATGGCAAGTCCCCGAAAAATGCAGGGAAAATCATCTGCAAATGGAGGTTTCAATGGGAAAATCGTCTGTAAATGAGGTTTTAATAGGAAAATCATCTGCAAATGGAGGTTTAATGGGAAAATCATCTAGAAATGGAGCTTTATAAATGGATGAATCTCACATGATTTCACAAGATTTCAGCAGTTCGAGCCATCCCTCTCCCTCTGATTGGCATGTCATCCATAAATTGAAGAAACAAACACCACGACACACAAAAATAATCAAAAAATAAAAATAAGTAAATATCTATCTAATCTATCTATCCATTCATATATATCATATATATATATATATAAATAGAATTAAATAGATATATGATCCAGTGTGGAGCCAGCGGAAGGTTGGATTCATTCAGGCTGATACCAGGGTATCACACCCCCAACCCACATTGCCACAAGAGGTGGCCCAAGATCCACGGCTTGGGGGGCTAAACCAGATGTTTTTATGAAGAATGGCCTGGATCTGGGTAGGGGGATGGAATGGCAAAATTCAAAGAGTTTTGGTCGCCTTGATGTGCAGCATTGACTACCAATATGATCACCAGCGCTTTTCTTGGCTGGAGGTTGCAACATGTTGGGTTTGCCGGGGGGGTTTGCCGTGAGTCGGAATGAGTTTGCAAGAAGGGTAACATATGTTAAGATCATGTATGTCCATCCGCAGCCGTTTAGTAGGAGGAAATTTCATGGTATTTTCAGTGTTTTTCATTGGTTTCACATTAGCATTTGCAAGATGTTTGCATGATAAGGGATGATTGTTTGAACCAGGTTCATGTTTTGCGAACAAGATTTTTTCGCGGGATCCCGCGGAAAAATTAGCAGGATTTTTGAACTTGTGATTTGTTGGAAAGAGAAATAAAGTTGTGTGTTTTATTGGAACAGCATAATTAGATTTCCTTCGGAGCCATGTTGAGTTTCGATGAATTGTTCGAATGTTTGGTGCTATTGTTCGATGAATCCTTCAAGGCTCAAGAGGTATATATAGAGTAACCCTGTGGACAAGCACTGACCGGCAACAGGCTGAGAGTAAAATAGTGCTGCCATACTTAGCTGATCTTGAAGTAGACGCTAGGGCCCCTCTTCACCCCACCCCCCCACCCCCCCCACCCCCCACACCCCACGGACAGCTATTCCAATGTTGGATAATGAGTTCTATGGAACGCAAGCTGCCTGAACGTTATTACTCCCCCCCCACCCCCCACCCAATGATCACGAGCTCAGAAACCTTGTTTGCTTCGGCAAACCCCTACGGTTGACCCAACATGTTGCAACCCCGTCCCAATAATATTGGATTGGTATTAAATTCCTTCTTTATGGTGGTTTAAACTTTGATCTCTGGTTGGTAAGATCTACGGTTGAAACCATTGTGTTTTGCCACTGAATACAACTGATTGGTGGTTTCAACTGGTTTCAACCCAACTGACAAATATCAAAGTCATGTTGTCATCCCAAATACTATATTGAACAAAAAACGAACGTATAACAAAACGAACATAGTGAGAATAGGATGCAAAATCACCAAGCAGATAATATATCTCCGTCCGATGGTTAAATCATGCTAAATCACCATGTTGCATGGTTAAATCATGGTGAAATCCCCATGTTTCATGGTTAAACCGCTATCTTCCATGGTGAAATCCCCATGTTTCATGGTTAAGTTACCATTTTTCTTGGTGAAATCCCCATGTTTCCCAACCATTTGCTCTCCACCAACATGGTCTCACCACATCTCAGGCGGCCACATTCGCGTGGTCAGGTCCTCATCCGAGAGACGGAGCCTTGGTACTGGCCTGTTGTCTTTACGGCATGTTAGATTTATAGTGTGGTTATAGCATTTTATAATGATCTATAATGATCTATAATAATCATTTTATATTTTATAGTGCAGTGTACAAACAATCTATAATATTATCCATAATATTCTATAATACTGATACTGTACCTCTATGATGCTAAATGACAATCATGATAATGGTGATAATGGTGATAATGATACTAATGAGAATCATGACCATAATAATGAGAATAAAACATAGAGTGGCAAAGAGAGAGAATCATCCTGGAGCAGATGCATTGGTCGAGGCCAGGTGTCCCTGCTGGTAGTGACCTTGGAGATCCGGCCGTCATCTGATTCACAGCCGAAGATTTTAGCCATCCAAGGTCCGAGAAGATCTTTTTTTTATGTTCTTATTAGTATCATTGTATGGTATAATGATCAGGAAAACCATATATAATGATCATTATGTTTGTTTGTTTGTCTCTCTCTCTCTCTCATTTTCTTGACTTTGCCTTTGGGGATGCAATAATTCAGTATCAGCTATCTGGAAGGACACAAAAACCCATGCAAAAAGTGATAGGAAGACCATCGATGTTGGGGTACTCCGTCTTACGAATCCACCATCTCAAAAGAAAGAGGATTAGTCAACCTCGGCTTAAAATGGAAAGGGTTGAAATTATACAATTACAGGAAAAAACTGCAAACAACGTTGGCAAGGATAAAATGGAAAAAAAAACTCGTGAATTTAGGGTCAACCAAACCTATTTTAACCTGAGGTTGACCGTAGGCATTTTAGCCAGGCCTTTCAAAGGACACCGACAAAGCACACAAAAAAAAACTCAGAACCGCATGTATGGCTAAAATCCATCAATCAAAACATACATGAGTCATGAGTCATCCTGGTACATTGGGCATTATCAGCTGCAAATCACACGTATGTCAATGCCGAGTTTTGCCTCAGCTCACTTGCAATAAAACAAATGGCAACGCAAAACCTACAACGGACGTAGATAGTTCGGCCGGAGATGATTTGAACATGTTTGAGTTTGAACATGGAAATTCGTGCCGTGGCCGGGGTAGTTCGTGGATTGTGCTGGATCCAGTTGTGTAATCATCGGAATGGCATCGGTTAAATGTGTTGCCATCTTAGATTTGCCGATGGACAAAAAATTCCCATCATTAACCAACATTTACCATCATTAACCCATTAAATGTAGTTATCCCAAAATATCTCAATATCATGTTTCCCATCTGGTCACTGCAACCGAACCAAGATCCCCGGACGCAGTTTCATCAACTGGATCACCGCAGCATTGAGCGTCTTCAAGTCACAGTACCTGTGATGAAACGACCTGTTGTCCCGGCGTCATGGCGACTTTCCAATGGTGCGAAAACCACCTAGTTGGGTATACTGAGTCATAGCCTTCAGGCTTCCCAAAAACAGAGAGCCCACATTTAGTCATAGTGAGCCCATCAGTTACCCTGCTGTAAACTAACAAATCATGTGGAAAGCCCACTAGTTGTAGATCATTAATTAACGGATTTCCCCAAGGCTTTCCCATGGGCGGAAACCCCCACATCTGCCGCGCCACGCCGCAAGGCACCTCCGGAAGAGATGTTGGTGCCAAAGGCTCAAAGGGCACGTCCTGGCGCATGGCTGTGGCTCCGGGTTTGGAGTCGGCCACATCGTAATTAGCAATATATATATATATATATGTGTGTGTGTATGGATGGATGGATGGATGGATGGATGGATGGATGGAGGTAGGTAGGCAGGCAGGTAGGTAGGTAGGTAGGTAGGTATGGGTGTATGTGTGTATGTGTGCATATTATGTATATGTATATTATGTATATTGTGTATATGTATATTATGTATGTGTCTATTATGTATATGTCTATTATGTATATGTATATTATGCATATGTATATGTATATTATTATGTGTATGTATATTATGTATATGTATAATATGTATATATATATATTATATATATTATATATTATATTATATATATATCGAACACCAACAAACTCACAGGTTGCCTCAAGTCTCCTCTCTTGACATGGATCATTCTGGGGCAGTTGGGGTGAACAACCCTTGAATTGAGGATATTTTAGGATGCCAACTTCATACGCTTCCCACAACGCTGGCACCATTCACCCTTCAAGATGCGGCACTCGGCCCCAAGCTCATCTTGCACATAGCAGTGTGCGATGTAGATCAAGCTGCCCAGAACGTTTCCAATTTCATCATCCTGCGGTCAAAAAAATAAATCATTGTGTGACTTTTTGTGCTCCTGCATCAGCCAAGAATGAACAACTGGGATGATAGTTGGAAGATTTTTGAAGAAAGAAGTAATTACAAGCCATCCTGGACCATATGGCATGAGCCCCCAGTCATCCGCCCTAATCTAATCATTTCAATTCTTCCGCCTTTCCACCTTTCCTCTTCTAGTGCCAATGCTCATCTGAACGGCCCCTGTGGCCTCCAATTGGGAGCCGCGCTTGCCATAGAAATCCAAGAAGTACGCACTGGCGTGGGCCAGTATGACACACATGTCCTCACGGTGACTTCAACTGCTTCTCATCCCAGGAACCCCACAAAATGAGCTGATCTGGGAACAATCCAAATATAAAAGGGGAGAAAAAAGTTTAAAAGGACAAGAAGTGGAAGAGACCGTTTTTATATGTTTTTATCACTTCTTGTTGCATTCTGTACTGGTTTCAATGAAGTCCGCTCTCCTCCACGTGGTAGTCACACAGTCGAAGAAACCTGAAGACACAGTGAGTGAACACACGATGAGTGTCAAGACCAGGCTGCGAAACAAAATACAAAAAAAAGCGAGCCACAAACAAAACTCTGCAAAGGGAAACTCTGAATATCTCTGATTGACAAATGGTAACAGTGTTCACTCACAAGAAATCATGCAGATATATATATATATATATATGTATATACCCTCCTGCAAATTAACATCGATGTGGAAAATCCACCATTTGTACATAATTTTCCTAGTTTCCACATCGTTAGTTTACCCCAGGCTAGCTGGCCCAGACCACCCGCCTCATCACACGAAAGAGCAACTTGGCAACCTGTGAAAAAGGGGGGCCAGGTCGAGCAGCAGTTTCAATCAGGGATTTTATGGTTGGCTAAGGGTAGTTCATGATGGTTTTGCGTGTTTTCTTAATCAAGATAATAGTGGGATAGTAATGGGAAATATCGATGGATTTATCTTGTCCTCCAGTGTCATCAAACATGGGGACATTCCCGAACTAAATGGTGGATTTAAATGGGAAAATCATCGAAGCAAATCGGGGGGGGTCCAGCAAGCCATCTTTGATTACCGTAGGGTCATTGTCTGTCAGTTGTCCATTTAGTCAAGAACTACAGCAGGCATAGTGGGCGATGACGCTTAATTGTAGATGAACAACACCGAAGCGCCAATTGTGGACATTTGGGGGGGTAGTTCCTCATCTATTTGCTTTTTCGGGAAATGCTGTGGATGGTTACGAAATCCTGCACCACCAAAAGGATGGGTGAAACCCTATAATACATGGGATGTTCACTACCTACCCTCTGGTAAACATACAAAAAGCTATTGAACATGGTCATAGAAATAGTGAGTTTTCCCATTAAAAAGGTGATGTTCCATAGTTTTTTGTATGTTTACCAGAGGCTATCAACTGGTGATAACCGGATTTCGCAACGGCCCATCCACCGTAGGACCGGCTGCGGGCTGCACCTGCGGCATGAGGCTGGTCAGCGGCGTGAGCTCCAGGAAGCTTGAAATGAGATGAATATCCTGCACCGGCAGTGACAGCCTCTTAGAAATGCACTATTCAATGGATTGGCTGAAGGGTAAATCTACAGGAAACCATAGGATTTTCCTATGAAATATGGAGAAATATGGGTGTGTCCTATAATTTGTCCCTTAAACCAATCCATTGAACTATGATTTTCGAATTTTGCTTATCTGATCTAAACTCTGGGGCTTTGAAGGAATTGAATCACTATTTCGACCAAGCCGAAAAAGGTCCACTTTGGACTCTGGCTAATTACATGGATTTCCTGTTGTCTCATCCTGCGTCCTCAATTGTCATCGCATACGATCTGTAAGCCCACAGGTCTCGCCTGATCGAGCAAACCATCCCAGCACCATAAGTGGTGCAACATAGCAACACATAGCAATCTAACCCCCGTGTATCATAACTATCACAAACGTGAGATGTTCACCAACAAGAATCGCGATTCCACCTGAAAGGATTGAGGATTGCCACTGACCATTTCGAGATTATTTCAACATGCCTAGAGACTTGGAGCTCGTGACGGTCCGGGCATGGATCAAAGTTGAATGTTTGAAAATACTTGAACAAATGGCATGTTTAGCACTGCAAATGAGCACTATATGTGGTTCCCTGGGTCTTAAGCCCGTACCCTATTTATGCCCAGGCCCATGTCTCTTGAGTCATGACTTCGGATCAGGGGTGCCCCGCACCAAGCACTTGCGCTCTTGCAGTGCACCCCACGTATGTGGGACGTATACCGACCCAAATTCTGGGTTTCATCCACCCCAATTGCTACTGATTCCAAGACTACATAAATAATAAGCCCACTATCTGGTAAGTGTTTATGGAGGAAAAAACATGTTTTACAAGAAAATCATCTATCTAAATGGGCTATGGTGTCCATTGTAAAGTTGAGGGCTGGACCCAAAGGTCAGCTGGTCCCATTGAGCATCCTGGCGCTGAACCCGGGTGAAGTGATCGAAAATAGGGCCCTTGGATGTGCATCCCAGTTATTTAGTGGTTAACAACCATATTATAATCCAGTTATGTATAGGATATACCGGAGATATACCGGAGATACCCCAGTTACACACGGGTACTTCCTGGATGGCATGCACCCCCAAGTAGGTAGATCACTCATTGGGATAATGTGGTAAAACTTCGATATTGCCATGAATCGCTGGTAAATTTAAAAAAAAAAACACATTGTATTATGGCAGCCATGGTTTATCGCATTTTGAAGGACAACCCACGGTACAGGTGACTTTCCATTGCCACGTCAAACTCCCAAAGGGTAAGTATATGAAGCTCTCTCCGTCAACTTTTTCCACGCGCATATGCTTGCACATGCGGGCATATAAACAATAACTTGAATATCATACATGTCATATATGCATGCAACTGTTTTAACAAAGCAAAAATCACCCATCTATATGAATACTACGAATGAACACATACAGATATATATATATATATGTGTGTGTGTGTGTACATATGCATATATGCATATATACATTATATATTACTCTATGAGATATATTATATATATACTGCATATGCAACCAACCATCAACCATCACCCAATCTCCCTGTCTCCCTGTCGCCCATCTCCAGCCTTGGGGATCTCTGAAGTGCTTGATGCGGCAGTCGAGGAGCTTACTAAAGCTGTGCCTCGGGCCACTGCCACCAACATGGGGATTTATAACGGGTAAGTTGGTTTATCACTAGCATGACGAACATAACTAGGGTTTGTGGCACACACACACACCTGTATATACAGGTACGTATATCTATATATATGCCATGGCCATATATATCATATATATATATATACATGCAACACTCTCAATCGGGTTTCTCAAGGAACTGAAAACTGGAGGGAGCACAAAGTTGAATGGAGATCTGATGGGAATACATTTTTCACGGGCTGGTTGAAGGGAATCTGCTTGCAGAAAACCATTGTTTGTACCATGTTGGGTCCTGAAAAAGGGTCCCTTCATCCAATTCTGGGAATGGTGGGATAGGAATGGAATGGGAATATAATACTTGGATATACTTGGATAGTTGCATTCATGATGGTTTAATCCAACCTCGTATTTGTCTAGTGACATTAAATAAACAAACAAACAAACAAACAAATAAAATCAAATAAAAAAATAAATAAATATGATTCATGATAAATGGAATGTAGTGCTATATCATGGGAATATAAACCACCCACAACTTATATAAATTTACAAAAAATATTGAGCTTGTTACCCGTGTACGAGGTGACAGAGGTCTGGGGACGTGGTCATCCCAGCACAACACCTGCCAGGGGCTCCCCAGCTGGAACTATCAGCCCGCGACCTCAGAGATTTGTCGCTGTAGATGTGTTAATTCAGAGGGACATAGGTAAATATAGAGACATATACAGCATACATTTACTCATTTAAATATATATATATATGCTAATAAACTAATATATATATATACACTAATATATATATATATACACTAATATATATATATACACTAATATATATATACACTAATATATAATATATCTATGCTATGCTATGCTATGCTATGCTATGCTATGTATGTATGTATGTATGTATGTAATGTAATGTAATGTAATGTAATGTAATCTAATGTAATCTAACGCAATGTAACGTAATGTAATGTAATGTAATCTAATGTTAAGTAGGGTTGTGTAATGCTATGTAATGCTATGTAATGTATGTAATGTATGTAATGTATGTAATGTATGTATGTATGTAGGTATGTATGTATGTATGTATGTATCTATGTATGTATGTATGTATGTATGTATGTGTGTGTATGTATGTATGTATGTATGTATGTATGTATGTATGTATGTATGTATGTATGTATGTAAAGGACTGTAATGTAATCAAATCTAATGTAATCAAATCTAATGTAATGTAATGTAATGAAATGTAATGTAATGTAATGAAATGTAATGTAATGTAAAATAAAGGTTATGTAATGTCATGTAATGTATGTGATGTATGTGATGTGATGTGATGTGATGTGATGTGATGTGATGTGATGTGATGTGATGCATGTCTGTATGTATGCATGCATGCATGCATGTATGTATGTATGTATATGTATGTACGTATATGTATGTATGTGTATGTATGTGTGTATGTATGCATGTATGTATGCATGTATGTATGCATGCATGCATGCGTATGTAACTAATAATGTACTAGTTACTAGTACATGTACGCGCAAACACCCGTGTCGCCCACACCCCTTCTATGCTGTACACTTGGGGGTATCAAACGTTAGACATTACATTCAATTGGGAAGATCAACAAGGGTATTTAGGGAATATAAATTTCCCACCCCTGTTAAACTTCTACATTCATTGAAGATCTTCAATAAGGGTTTAATTCTCCCTTCCCCGTTAAACTTCTACATTCATTGAAGATCTTCAATAAGGGTCTAATTCTCCCACCCCCGTTAAACTTCTACACTCATTGAAGATCTTCAATAAGGGTTTAATTCTCCCACCCCCGTTAAACTTCTACATTCATTGAAGATCTTCAATAATCCATAAGGGTTTAATTCTCCCACCCCCGTTAAACTTCTACATTCATTGAAGATCTTCAATAAGGGTCTAATTCTCCCATCCCCGTTAAACTTCTACATGCATTGAAGATCTTCAATACGGGTTTAATTCTCCCACCCCCGGTAAACTTCTTCTACATTCATTGAAGATCTTCACTAAGGGTTTATATAATTCTCCCACCCCCGTTAAACTTCTACAGTCATTGAAGATCCTCAAATATCTTCAATAAGGGTTTGATGATGATGATGATGATGATGATGATGATGATGTGTAAGAGACTCGCACAGGTCCCTATGCTGCGCGTGCCGATATACAACATGAAGTTAGCCATGATGCAAAACAAAAAACAAAAACAAAAAAAAAACTCCCATTTTTACCACGTTTTCAGCACATACGAAGATGGCCGCCGACAAGCACGGGCAAGACGAGGTGTTTGCCCGTACATGTATGTGTATATAATTGTATATATATATATATTTATTTATTTATTTATATATTATATTGTGTTATATATATATATACATATGTGTGTTTTATATATACATATGCATACACACACACACATATATATATATATAAAGATACATGCGTAGCATGACAAATATAGATACTCCATGAAACTGATACGTCCCAGTCAAATCAGACGACACCAAGGCACTTCTGCTCTTCGGTTCTGGCGCTTTCGTCGTCAGCATCCCCTTGGGGCTCGGCCATCCCAGGGATCCCAGGGATCTATGGTTGGTTACCAGTAATCTAAGGTTGGTTGGCTTACAAAATATACTTACTATACTTGGTAAATATATGTAAATATCTAACTCACATGACCAGGGTTCATGGTAAATATATGTAAATATATTCGACTCATCCCAATCATCCCAGGATGATGAATGAAAATTGAAAGTTGGGGATCATCATGGATCGTCATTCTTCATCCTCTCGGTTCTCCCGCTTCGATGATCAAAGCTCTGCCACAGGCACGAGGATCACAAGGATCACGAGGTATGAAAATTGTCTCTGGAAACCATCCCCAAACAAAATCATTGCTATCCCTGCCGGCCTCATGATTTTGTTGGCCCTTCGGATATGTTCACCAAAAAACAAAGTTACGTCCTGAGGCCGCCACATGTAGCATTCGCCTGCCAGTTCCACTCCAATAAAATTCAGTCGCAGGCTCTAACCCCCAAAAACGATGGGAAAGCGTTTCCAGGATGGTGCAAAATTATACAAAGGTGGTATGTATGTATGTATATATATATATATATTTATGTATATATATATATATAATACCTCATATTTGCATGCTATCTATTTTGGAGGTGCTAACATTATAATGTTTTGAACCATCACTCAGCTTGACCTCTGCCATTTTCCTCGGCGCAGGACCCGAAGCTTTATTCGAGTCAGGTCGAGTTTTTCGCGGGTTGGTCAGCCAGATGCATTCGCGACCAGCTGACCAAAAACTTCAAACGTTCTCCACCCAAGTTTCGTGGATGACATCCTGCACATCGGATTGCAAAAAATATCACCCAACATGCCAGGGTCCAACAAACAAAACAAAAACATACTATATCACTGGGTGTCCTTGCTTGAATCAGCATCTTTCCGGGTAAGCTCAATAACTGTTGGAAAAACACGTCCCAAAAGGATGTATCACGTCCATTGATGTCCCGCTTTTGAAACTTCCAACTTAAGGCTGGAGGTTGGAGCTCAACATCTTCCAACTACTGGGGCCCGGCCACGCCCAGCACTGAATTTTGAAAAAGGCACACCTCCAATCAACTGGGACTGGCCTAATATATCTAATACGGCCATATATGGCCTCCATCCATTTTTTGGGGGCAAAGTGAAACCATGTCCGCCAAAACTATGTAAATATCAGCACTTGAGAATTTGAACTCAAACATCCCGTTCAACGGCTTGTTCATCAAAAAAAGGGCCGGGGTTATTATTCCAGGTCCACATCAGTGAGTTCACTGGAGGGTGGCAGCCAATGATTGGCTCATGAAATTGCACAGCATTCCTGCGGAGCCATCATTTTCTCCACGCTGGCCCTGCCCTGCATCCTGGAAACTTCGATTTTTTTCATGCACGGCAGCCATGAGGGGTGCGTCACCAAAAACATGACAACTGGTTGGTGGTTTTAACATGTTTTAACCATCTTGAAAAATATGAAAGTCAATGGGAAGGATGACAACCCATATAGATCCATATAGTATGGAAAATAAAAAACTTTGAAACCACCAACCAGATAGAAATTGGCCCTATTCTACTCCAATTTGATCCAAGTTGAATTGGAGACTTGATGATACTGCATGCTCCTTTGAAATTTTGGGTGCCCTATGTTCAATGATTCAAACAAAGCCAAATTGTGGCTTGGTGCCAGTTGAAAGGTATGCGCCTGTTTTGCCACTGATGGGTTGGTGCTTTTGAACCCCAAAAAAAATGAAAGTCAAGCACGATCATCATCGGCCGCCAGTCCAAAACGTACAATATGAATTGTTCATAACATACTTGAAATCACAAGAATTGTTGAAACCACCAACCAACTGGTTGTGCACGAAACAAAAGCCCCAGAACTGCACCTGCAACTGAGTAATTGCACTTCTAATCTGACAAGTGGGGGTTGGGGCACATGTCCCGCTTGCCTCGTGCTAGTCATCAAACCAAAATATCCAAAATCAAACCAAAAAGCAGATCTAGAGAGAGACCCTCCCCTGCTTCACCTGAGCATACCTGCTTCAAGCTGCCATTCCCACATCCCGCAGCAACAGAAACCTCTCTGCCCAGCAACGATTGCAGGAATCTGGTTTGGCTCATGGTGGTGATCGTTCCTGGCCGACATATCCGGAGCCACGCCAGCATTGACCTAAAGCCGCAATCTCGTCAAGGGGTGTTGGGAAATGTTGGGATGCCGCTCGCTCCAACAGGAGGGGATGTGAGCTACTAACACCTGACACCCCGAGCCGCACACATTCTTTTTCAAGGAATTGAAGTCCCTGAGTTTCAGATCTTACGAAAGCATCAGGGCAGCACGCGAGGAGGCTCAAGAAAATGGATCGTCATCTCCTCATTAAAACTCTGAAGCATGGAAAGTCTCAAGATGTCTCAAGCATGATGGCAGCTTTTGCCATGCCTGCGTGATCGTCATTAGCACCATATGCATATTTGCCATCATACATCCACCGGGTTGGCACCTTTCGGTGGCTCCAAACCCTGCATCTTTCGCCTTGGATTTGCATGAGAGGGGCCTTCAAAACTTGCAACGAATTCCCAGTAGATTCCCCACTTATTGTGGATTAACCAATGGAAAAAGCCAAAATGGTCTCGGCAAAACCAGTACACATTATCCCAATTTTGCTTGTCATAGCCTCATGCTCGTTGATTATTGGCGGTTTATAATTCAGAATATCCTTGGGTTGGTTTTAGGATGTTTTTAGGGGGAACTATACGGAACGTCCTAGATTTGGTATTTGTTTGCCAACGGACAAGTAGATTTCCGGCAAAACTTGCCTGGCAGGTCTATGTTCACATTCCCCAAGAGAAACCCATTACTAGGTGGTTTTTGTTCCCCATTTGCTGGCGGTTTTTTTTCGGATAAACTGACATAACGCTGGAAAATCACCCAGTTAATAGGTACATCATCTACAAATGGCCCATGTTCAATAATGTCAACCCTGGATAAATAAAGCATTGTCTATGAGGGCCTGGGGTGTACCCCCAGTGATAATAATACTTAAATGGTACCCTCCAATTAAACAGCCCAGGGGAGTTATTAATCCAGGGTTGACATTAGCTATGTCAATGCTGGGTACATCCAGTTGACCCAATCCAAGTCACCTCTCAAGCCTTCAACATCTCCTCCCCAGGCTCTCGCACCGTTACCCGCCGGCGCGGCAGGGAACGCCACAGCGACGCTGCCAGCAGCGCCAGGCTCAAAACAAGGACGCCCAGGACGCCAAGGACGGAAAAGGATGGGAGGCTTGGAGAACTCAGATCCTGACATTCGGAGGAGCGTGACACCGCTTTCATGTCCTGCACCCTGCAATGCCCCGCATGCCACAAGGGCAACTCGGCGCAACTCTAGGGGTATTGCACAAAGTTGCAAAGCACAAGGACAAGATCGAAACCATCAACTTGTTCATCCCAATCATACCCTATTATTTTGATGGTGACGATCGAAACCATTGAAACCATCAACAAACAGATATAAAATCATGTCATATCAAAAAAAAACATCAAAAACCCTATCATCCAAAATAGTTTGATGAAAGTAAGTTTGGAGCTTGGAGACCCAAGAATAATTCTGAATTCTGATGTTGGAGGGAAAATCTGCACAATGTGCACCAAACCAAGGGTTTAAGATGGTTTAACAATAAAATGCGATGATTTACCGTCCCATCAAAGAAATTCAAGGATGATGGCGTCAACATGTGTCAACCCATCTCAAATGCGAAAGTCACAGAGGATCATCCCAAAGGTGGTTTGGAAAATGTTGGACATTCATTTAAACCCCCCAAGAGGAAGGAAAAAAAACTGAAACCGGCGGGATTCCGTGGCAGCAGAGATCCCCTGAAGACATTCACAGCCTGGTAGCAGGGGACACTCATGCTTGGAGCTGAGGATTGGCACCACACACCAGGCCGCACAGTTGGCCCTGATCATGCCTTCAGTCAGGGATGGTAGCAGCTGCCCTTGCTTCGGAAAGCAGTGCGGGCCTCGTTTCTCGCTCTTGATCCATTGGAATTCAGATGTATTTGGCAAGTGTTTGGTCAGAAATAGGTGCGACACTGGGCAGACACAACTTTCATAGTGCCCCCACTCTCCATACTGCGTGCCGTTGAAACTCGCAGTTTTACAAATCTTGCTGGCCCATCTGCTGCCACATTGAAACATTGCTCCAATGCCTATCACCAAGGCAGGACTGCCATGTCACTCGGAACAAAACGTGTCAGCTAAAACGCGAGGCATGCGGTATGCAACAAAAATCGCCAAATGATATACAGTAAATATGTATATACCATGGGGTTCCAACGGGTGGCGCTATGATGCCAAAATCTAAGTTCTCTAAGGGTATGTCACCACGACACCCCTTAACTCAATCAAGACAAAACACTACGTTATAAGTATAACAAAGGTAATATATCACAAATTTGGTGGTTCCCATAGATTTTGGTGGTTCCCATAGATTCCCCATCAACCCAAACCCAGCCGCTCTCTCCACCGTGGCCACGTCGACGTGACTGGCGTTTTCACATCGGAGCTCACCAGGTGCCAAGTGGTTGGCTGGGAAAGGTAGTTGGTTGAGGGTCACCATGTTCAGCTGTTTCATTGGTGTTCCCATTTTTTGGAGGTACATGTTCAACTATCATTCCATTCTCCTCAACCAACGGACGCATATGTAAGATGCGTATCTACTAAGAACATATTCGCCCATGTTTTGGGGGCTGCTGGCCATCGCTAATTTTTTCAATTTTCCAACCGCGTCTTCGTCCATGTAGCAGCTGAGTTTGATGGGATTGGTCTGGGGAGCAACATCGTAGACCAGATGGTCTAGCCTTAGATAGAAAATGATCATACAACAAAAGAAATCTGGACAAATCATATTTAACAGGTGAAGTGTTGTGAATCATCATGGCTACTTTGGAGCCAAGTAACTTGTGGTGTTTTGGACGGGATTTCCAAAGTAGTTTGTTTGCTTCCAAGGATTCCATCGCAAGCCCTTGGCTGTAACATAGAATATTTGAACAAACACTGCGAATGCACACATCAGTAACACATGTAAAGCACACACACACACACTTGCTCAGAAACATCATTGCGAATTTCTGTTGTGGAATGCATCTCACGTGCACAAACAATTCAGTAAAACCTGACAGGAAAAATTGGTTGACCCAGCGTGAAATTCAGTTAGAAGAATACTTTCTACGCCCTTGCTCTGAAGACAGTTCTGATGCAGCTGAACCATTCGTAAATGACCAAAATAGATCCAGATGGCGACAACAGTGCAGAAACCGTAAGTTTCAATTGGACGCCATGGAGGTTCTTGGGTTGAGCCTCTTCCCATTTCTGACAATTGGCAGGTACGTCACTGGACGTCCCCAGTGATATCAGTGTCTCATGCAAGCCTCTTCGTTGGGCTGGTACTTGCATGGACGACCAGCCCCCTTGCTGAATTGGAAAATCCAGTTCATGATTGAAAAAACGAGTCAGTAGAAACGAAACAGCCAAACCATCGCTTAGAAGTTTTACATCTTTTCAGATGGTCCACACACACGCCTCGCTGCCGCGAGGCTGTTTTGGCAACTAAGGTCCCGACAATGAGATGAAAATGAAGAAGAAGGGAAATGAAAATGAGGTGAAGATGACAATGAGATGAAAGTTACTTAACCAGGACGCAAAGAGGGGAACGCAAAAGAAGAGGGAAAGAGCAAACACCAACACATGAAACCTAGCCCAAAACGGGCAACCCTGGAAAGGCAAGGGAAAAGAAAAGCGGAGGCCGACGGAAAACGGAACAAGACCAGCGGAGGAGGGGAAGACAGAAGCGCCTGAACCAACCTGACACGGCGCAAACCTACAACAACCTCAGCACGCAACGGGCCAAACCTACCTGGAGAGAGGAGAACGCAAGAACACATGAAATAGGGACCCATGGGGAACTAGTTACTGACATGATGCATCCACAACTCATGCAAGATTCGTGATAAGGCTCAAAGGCCCTCGGCTTTCAAGTCACAACCCTCTGGACGGCTTACGTGTTCAACCCCTGAATTACGTGCACAATTGAACCTCACCAACGACCATAAAAAGAAAGAAAAAACACACCTAAAGCATGTCCTGTTGCCTGATCATGAAAGAAAAGGTGAAGCCAGGCACAGCGGCATGTTGTTCAACACATCGACATCGACAGGTGAGACCTGGAAAAAAGGCCGACTGTTTCACATTACTTACACGAATTACTAATTCAAAAGTGTAAATTCAGACAAAAAAGGTGAGGCCAGGCACAGCGGCAGGCAGTTCAACGCATCGACATCGACAAGGTGAGAATCGGAAAAAAGGCCAGCAGTTCACTTTACTTAGACGAATTACTAATTCAAAAGTGTAAATTCAGACATCGTTTTACTGTCAATTGTTAGCCTGGAAAGGCTTTCCCCGAAGGGTTCCTGCCAACTTGACGTACACAGCAGGAATGACACACTTGCTCAGAAACATCATTGCGAATTTCTGTTGTGGAATGCATCTCACGTGCACAAACAATTCAGTAAAACCTGACAGGAAAAATTGGTTGACCCAGCGTGAAATTCAGTTAGAAGAATACTTTCTACGCCCTTGCTCTGAAGACAGTTCTGATGCAGCTGAACCATTCGTAAATGACCAAAATAGATCCAGATTGCGACAACAGTGCAGAAACCGTAAGTTTCAATTGGACGCCATGGAGGTTCTTGGGTTGAGCCTCTTCCCATTTCTGACAATTGGCAGGTACGTCACTGGACGTCTCCAGTGATATCAGTGTCTCATGCAAGCCTCTTCGTTGGGCTGGTACTTGCATGGACAACCAGCCCCCCTGCTGAATTGGAAAATCCAGTTCATGATTGAAAAAACGAGTCAGTAGAAACGAAACAGCCAAACCATCGCTTAGAAGTTTTACATCTTTTCAGATGGTCCACACACACACACACGGCCAGTGAGTGTCAAGGGACAGTTGTGGGCTGAGTGGAACAAATAATTCGACTTCTGTAAAATCTCCAAATTGCATGGGGCCAGTTGCACATGGCCATTGCCACCATGGTCCATCACTTTGCGCATGGTCACAAGGTTGACAAAAACAGCAGCCCGCATCCTAAGCAGCTCAAAAACAAATGGGGAGGATTATCCGACTGACCGAGAGAGAGAGAGAGAGAGAGAGAGCCGACTAAGTGGTATTATCGAAACAAACATGGCGTTGAGCCAAGTAGCTGTGCATGGGTATTGGCAGGATTTTCTGAAGCCACTTTCAGTGTGATCATCTCCAGCCACTGTGCCATAACAACAGCTTCCTCAGAGTCAACAACATGATGAGGAGACAAATCTTTGTTTCAGTGATTTCAACGAAGGCAAACACACCTCAATTTGTTAGTCTAGAATCTGCTGCATTGAGTCGACCCCACTGGGTCCAGAAGTTGCATTTTCTATGAAATGGGAAAACAAAAAAAATCCTCAGGAAGTGCACTTTCCGACACGCGAATGACACGCAGACCCGGGGTGGGGGCACCCCCCGACACGCATTAAGGGGTGCCGTAGTGACACCCCTTAGGCTAAGGGGTGCCGTAGTGACACCCATGACCATACCCCCCGACACGCAATGACACGCGAATGACACGCACCAAAAACCCGTGTCAGATCAAAATCGTGGCCAGGCCCAGAAATCAAGAACATGGAAACACTGGAAACACTTTTCCTCAGGGCTGGCTTTAAGGTGAATTTTATCAATAGTGGTACTATATATAAACTAAAATTGAGTTCATTCTCCAAAAATTAGGCAAGCTTCTCTCTGGCAACCTTTTGTTTTTCTTTCGTAGCTGGAGATAGGAAGGTGACACCCTTGCGTTTGTTCTTCGCATGGTTTAACAGCACCTGGTGTCCTCGATGTGCCTCAGAATCACAACGATCCAACCTGGAAAAAAAACAAGTGATGGGAGTTAGCAACCAAGTTGAATTATAAACTCATTAGGGAAAACAACATTAATAAAGACACTGGTCCCAAGTAACTTGCTGCATGACCCAGGTATCCAAGTCGTCATCGCTTCGACCAAAGCCTGTACTGTGTTATGAAAGAATATGATAAATTATATGTTGGAAATCCCACACAGCACAACATGGCACCAAACAAAACTAAGTTGAAGACGTAACTTCTTTTTGCGGATGATCTCGTACAGGCTTTGTCGAATCGAATTTTCCCGGGGTACTTTGGACAGGGAAGACTTGGTGAATGCAGCACGCAGCCATAAATTTCCAGATATTCTGATATCGCCACCTGGCCAGAATTCGCCAGTCTTGCGGATCCATTGTACACAATTGTCATCCATCCGATCCATCAAGGCTTTTGTGAAATACCTGATTGGTTGATTGGTAAAATACCGTTTCAGTAATATTCATCCCATATGTTTCAGGGAAGGACCCAACCCTAACTCCCACCCCCATAAAATTAGTGGTTCAAAGCGGTGACAAGCTTCACAGTCATAGTCTCCCCATTGCTAGTCCGACGCTTGCGCTTCGGCATTGCTAGCACACCAAGGGGGTAGCAAAGATCCAGATTGGAAATTATCCTATGGCATTATGGCTTTGGTAATGTTTATTCTTCAAACGGCATACCAATAGCTGCACAGCTCATTCTAGTGGATCTGTATTAGATGCCATCATACCACTTGTCATCATCAACATGAGCCGTTGCCAGGCTGCGGATGGAAGTGAGCGACATACTATGACAGCTTTGATGGCCCCAGATGGGAAACATGAGGTATGAAGATGAAATAGCCAAAAATAGGATGATAACAACCATGAAATCAAACGGGTGCCCTAGCGAAGCCCCTGCCTAAGGGGCGCCGTTTTGGCACCCATTGGCATGTGCTGGTATATATATATATATAAATATCTCTCCCTCTCTCGCTCTCTCTCTCTCTCTCTGTAGCATCTCATAGCCAGCCTTCCGCCAGTGAAGCCTTTCCCTCCAGGCGCCGTTGCACTGGCTGCGGCTGCTGGACGCAACCGCTGCAGCTGTGATCCACTGAGCCGGGGCACGACACAAAGGCCGCTTCGCCAAAGTCGTGGCGCGGGGATAGAAAAGCTGGAGATTGCTGGGGTGCCAGGGCAAACCTGGGAACCCCAAAAAAAAATTGACCAAAAGAATCAATAGATAGAATAAATATGAATAAATATGAATAAATGAAGAATTAATTAGCTATTGAAAGTTGCATCCCCATTTCTGCCAGCAAACACTCGGGTCCTTGGACTTTGGCCACTTTGGGGGGTTGTAGCTTCATGTTCCATTTTGATCCATTTTGGGTATACGTTGAAAACACCATGAAAACACCACTCTATCAGCAACTCAAAGCCGTAGTTGAAAGCCATTTGAGGCAGCTCCTCCTCAGGCATCAAAGCCCCAAAGCCGCCCCCGCCACCACCACCGCCACGTAAAACCAGCTGCTGCCCAGAGCTGTGGCACTGCCGGATCTGATCCCGGACTAACTTCATGGAGACCAACCAATACTGCGGATCCTGGATTTGCCCAAGGTGACACCAAAACACACCAGATTGGCGGATTTCTTGTGGGGTTTATTTATCAATGATTTCATAATTGTATATTTGTTTATTTAAGTTAGCTTATCTGCTTATCTTAAAACGAAGGACATGCAGTTCCCTATGTGTCCCTCAGAATTTTAGCTGAATGTCACCTCCCCAAATTGATGGATTTCCCTTATTTCCCATTGCTGAAAGAGAAGTAACATGAAACATGAACTAACCTGAAGATCCTGAAGCAAAGCCAAAAGATCCGTCTGCTCCATCTCCAGCGCGACCCCAAAGCCACCGGTGCCAGCCCCCGCCCCCACGGTAGGGCCATCCTCACCCACCGACACCCCGCCACCACCACCGCCACCTGCCTCAATGGCGGCCAGGGCTGCTGGACTGCTCATGCCTCCACCCCCACCGCCACCACCTGTGATGATGAGCACCTCACCAGCGGGACCCACACATGAAATCCCAAAGCCCGCTCCAGCACCACCACCCCCACTGACGCCCCAGTAGGGTCGGCCCAACTCTTGTTCATGTTGCAGCTCCTTCAAGCTACTGTGGGCGCCAGAGGGGTCGTAAACACTGCCAGGCCACCCCTTCTCGGTGGACTCGCACAGGGATTTGATGGTCTCGGATCCAAAATCGGTGACGGAATCAAAGGTCTTCACAAGAGCTGTCTCGTCTGGAGCAGTCATCAATCCAACCAGGTACTTTGCCAATTTCTTTTCGGAGAGACCTGCGTTCCACTCCAGCATACTGCACAACTGTTCCCCTCCACCTGCAACTTGGTACGGTCCCTGCCCTGCATGTCTGCATTCCACCTGGGAATCTGTCAGCCAGTTGGTGTAGTAGGCGAAGCGCAGAGGATACTCCGCAGCGCTTTGGTTCAAGATGTGGCGCACATACTCCGCCATTGTCTCAGCAAACTCAGCGGCACCGGCAAACATTTGCGAGGAGAAGGGGTGCAAACGCTGCTGGTTGCAGAGTTGCAAGGTCTCTTTGGTGGCCTCCACATCTGTCCTGCAGGCATAGGGCATTGCCCCCTGCATCTTCACCGGACAACGCTGAGGCCCTGCCGTGGCCACACATCTTCCGTGTTCGAAGCTGCAGCCGGCCGCACGGCAGGAGCGCGCCTCGGAGTAGCAGCTGCAGCCAGTGCAGTTGGCCGACGAGCCATCGCAGCTGCCATGGGGTCCCAGGGCGGCAGCAACAACACTGCACAAGAAGACCGCAGGCTTCATGGCGTGTGTCGCTGATGGTGGTGAAATGGAACTATCAAGGTCTATCTATAATATGTATAGTTACTAACAAGGATTCAGATGCTTCAGGGCGAATTGGAGGGATGGCTAGGTCACACCCGTTCAAATTTGGAATTCATCGATATTCATCGCATCCAAAGAAGGCGGTCCAACTCATGTGTTCTGCAGCTGCCACATGATGCCGCCCAATCGCTCCAGCCATTCTCAAGCTCAGGACGCCCCAACGTTTGTAGCATTTTGTAGCCCTTGTCTGGTTCTGGTGGTTTCAAACCTTCTCAGCAGATTAAATGCGCATGTTTCCTTGTAGTTTGTTACACCATTACTAACTCTCAGGATCTCTCAGGTGATTTGGAACCTCACATGCATATCCTTATACCATCTTATACCAAGTATTCTTGCGGGGTATATTCCAACTATATCCCCACTCACGACTAGATGTCCCATGAAACCACTGACCAGTTTGTTGGACCTCCCTCCCCCGCCCCCAGTTTGGACCAGCGACTCACCCGGCAAATCGTACTTGTGGATAGCAAAGATTGCAGCACAAACGCCCGATCTGCCGAAGCCCGCCTGTCAGCAGGGTCTGAGAGTCGATTGAAGCCACCATCCCATTTTGAGATTTTGAGGCGAGGATGCAAAGTTATATGGAACCATCAGCCGGTCCAAGTTGGAAAGGGGTGTGGGAGCCATGCTTGTAAACCAGTGATACATAGAATAAACATGAATAAACCTATTTTGGAGGGAGGTTTGCCATGGCTGCTATAGATGCTAGGCTACAAACAGTACCACATACTGAGTAGGATGTGTGGTGTTTGAGGGAGCCCCCTGGAGCCTTGCAGTGAAATGCCACAGCTTGGTCCATCCCAAGCGTGCTGCAGCCCTGAATGACCTTCTTCACGATCTCCTGCCACTGGGGGTCCAAACAAGGATGGAATGACTTGCTAAGGGCTAAGGGACGAACGCTAGCTGGGGGACAAGGAGGAAGATGTAAAGAATGTGAAAGAGCAGTGTGCCACGAATTGGGAGATACCAAGTGGAGAGTCTGTCTGATGATGCTGGGATACCAAGTGGAGATACCAGTGGGCCACTTGAGGATTTACCCTTGATTTTGTAGGAAATTCAATGGGATGATGCTGATGATGCTGATGATGCTGATGATGCTGATGATGCTGATGATGCTGATTGCAACAATATGGCGACGATGTCCCAGGCAGGAGTGACCTACTGCAAAAGAAAAGGAATGTCATCGGGAAAGCCATCTTCACCACTTTGACGTTTGCCACGATTAATCACCATTAATCACCATTAATCACCTGGTTGGTGGTTTCAACCCCTCTGAAAAATATGGAAGTCCAGTTGGGATGATGACATTCCCAATATATATATATATGGAAAAACAAAAGCCATGTTCCAAACCACCAACCAGTCACCCTACATCAAAAATTTCTTGGGATCCTTTGGGAGAAGTCGGCTCCTGGCTCGGCACACCTCCACCTGTGTCATCATATGCGGCCTGGGACTTGCGGCCGGTGCTTGAGATGAGCCACGCCCCTGAAACAAGATTAATCAATATTAGTCATGGGGGTGTAATAGTTAATTATATGCTACATATAATGGGAATGCTATGGAACTATAGCAATTATATGTTAATTAAATCATATCATATGTTTTTTTTTTTTCCCGCCACGCCTTTTTGAACCGCAGCTGGTCACGCCCCCTGTGTTAGGGGGAGGCGGCTGGGGAGGGGTGGGGTATCATCTCGCGCTTCGGCGAGGAGGTCGGGGAGTGGGGGCGGGTCGCCGTCGGTGTGATCCGCAGCGCCAAGGGGGAGTTCAAGGAGGCTTGCTGCGAAGGCGTGAGAGGCGGCACAGCTGAGCAAGGCGGCCCATCGGCGGGTGTATGCGCCGACCGCTGCTGCCCGTAGCGGCTGCTGGACGCTTCGCGCCTTAGCCACCGCCAGGCGGTGGAGGAGGGTGTGCGCCTCTTGGCCCCAGCGGCCACCGACTTCCAGGCCAACAACGATGAGGCGGCAGCGGCGCTGTTGCTCGAACTCTGGGTAGACAGACACCCGCTTGCGCCGCGTGGCCTGAGCGATGGCGGCACCAGGGGTGGTGGTGGTGTGCGGGTGCGCCGTACCGTCGCGCCCGACAGGACTGACTAGGGTCGCGTCGACGGCGAGCTGCGCGCCTTGGTAGAGGGGGAGCCCTTGTGCCAAGATCTCGATGGCCCGGGCGTCCGCGGGGGGCGGATCGAAATTCATGTTGGCCAGGGGCACGTGCATGTGGACCCGTGCCCCGGCTTCACGAAAGATGCGGGCCAGGGCTCGTTCAATTGGCACGGCTCGGGCACGCAATGCTCCGCTTGTGGCGCAGGCAGCACGGTGGTCGCCATAGGCATCCATGGCACGTCCACACCGGCAATGGGCCGGGGCGAGGCCCAAGGCCAGGCGGAGGCGGCGGAGGAGGGTGCGGTATGGGGCGTTGTCAAATTGGAATTCGGGGGAAGTTGGGAAAGTGGTGAAGGTGGTGGCTGCGTGTGGGCCGGCTTGGGACAAGAGGAGCGCGCGCTCGGGTTTGGGAATGGTTGTAAAAAGCGCGGCGAAGTCTTCTTGGTCAAGGGCGGCGCCAGCGGGGCGTTGCCATCCACGCAGCGGGTCGCCATGTGGGGGGTGGGAAGGTGTAGGGGGCGGGGGGCTGCCGGTCATGAGGAGGCCCCATGGCGGGGGGGCGAAGCCCGCGCGCCGAAGGGTGGCTCCAGCAGCGACGGCAGCCTGGACACTTGGGGGTTGGGCGCGGGACTCGCCCGTGAGGAGTTGGCCGAGGTGGTCGGCGACAGCAGGCCACCGCGCATGGATCGCCGGCAGCGTGTCGGCCCAGCTTGCCCAATATGCGGCGTGGCGGTGGCGGACCGCGGAACGGAGGCCGAGGCCCCCATGGGCCAAGCTGAGGTGAACGCGGGCTCGGGCTTGGGGCGGGAGATCTTCAGGGCGGTCGAGCAGGGTGGCCAGGCATTGGCTCGTGGCGGTATCGTGGGACGTGGCGTATTGCAAGGTTTCTGTTGGGGGGACGGTGCGTAGGAGGTAGTTGGAGCGTGGGTTGGCGCAGAACAGCAGCAGGAGGAAACTGGCTTGTAGGGATGGTAGGGTTGGAATGGCGGCCAGGAGCGCGTTGTGCTTATCTCGGGTGGACAGCAAGTGGGTTTGGACATATTCGGGGCTGCCGATGGGGGTGCCCAACACGGTGACCCCGCGTTCTGCCGGCGGCGTGGCGTGGCCACCGACCCAAGTTGGCGGGGAGTTGGGGGGTAGGGTTGGCCAGTCGGCGGGGGGGGTGCCGGACGCATTCCAGATGCGGGTCTTTCCCTGATTGAGCGTGACGTTGGCGTGGCGCCGCAAGGCTGTCTCCAGATGCTCATAGAGAGCGCGGGTGCGGGCTGGGGCGCATAAGACGTACGTGTCGTCCAGGTACGCGAGCAGGGCTTCGCCGGGGAGAAGGGCGCGGAAAGTGTCGTGTAGCGCTGGGGCAACAGCGACCGCGTACAGGCCCGGCATCAGGGGATCTCCCTGTTCGCCGCCTTCGTGCTGATGGATGGGGTGGCAAGTGCCGGCAGCATCGTACCAGAGGTACTCAGAAGCCGCCGCGTAAAATTGCCGCACGAAAGGAAGCAAGGGGCGGAGCCCCTGGTCGTCATGGATGCCTTGCAGGATCGCTTGGCGTGCGACGTGGTCGTAAGCGCCAACGCCGTCAACGGACAGAACGCAAAGTTCAGGCTGCATTTCTGTGGCAACCCGCACTGACCGTGCCAAAGCTTCGCCGCCAGCACGGGTGGCGAGGGCATACTGGTGGGGCGCCGTAGCGGCTTGAAACTGGGTGCTGAACTGTTGCGCCAGGGTGCGGGCGACCAACCGCCGGAAGACGTCGCTCATGACGAGTCCGCGGACTCGGCCGTTTGGTTTTTGGAGGGCGACGAGGCGGCCGAGGCGGATGGCCGGGAGGATGGTTGGGGGTACGGCCGCTGTGGCGAGGCGGTTGGCCGCCTGGGTGAGTTGCTGGGTGGTGTCATCTGAGTCAAGGACCACGCGGAGGTGTTCCGTGGTCATGCCTGACGGGCCAGGGGCAGCCCCGCGGCGGCTTGTGCGTAGGTTGGTGAGGAGGCGGTGGGGCCGGCGGTCCGGGTCGCGGAGTTCTGCCAAAGTGGCTGGGGTGAGGGGGGCCAAGGGGGAGGCGGTGAGGGCAGCACTAGCAGCTGACAATTCGCCCTGTTGGACGAGCGTAACTGCCCGGCGCGCTCGTGCGCTTTCGTGCGGCACGGAGGCTGGGGGGCTTCTTGGCCGGGTGGGGGGTCGGGGGGCGGGCGAAGATTCGTGAAGGAGCTGGAGCCATGCACCGTCGTTGAACAGAGCTGCCCGGCGGTCCAGTTCTCCCGGAGCAGCGACCGCGGTGTGGTCAGGGCGGTGCAAGAGGAGGCGGGAAACGAGCAAGAAGAGCTTCCACCCGCGTTCGATGTTGACGGGGTCCGATGCGGGGGAAGTGATAGCCTCCAGTGCAATGCGAAGGGCGTGCTTATACGTGGGCTGGAGGCGGCGGGGGACGGACTGGAACGTGCGGGTCCGGGTGCGAAGGGTGTCGCAAAGGTCAACGGTGTCAAGGCTGGGGAGGCCCCGGGCAAACGGGGGCGCGGGTGCGGATGTGGGAGCCGCTGCGATTCGCGGGTCGGGGGCGTCCGTGTCTGCGCCGCCCGACCTGTCAGGGTTGACCATGGGCTGGGTGCCGGGGGATGGGCGTGGTCCGCGACCGCGGCCGCGGCCACGGGTATGGCGACGGGCGGGTGGGAGTGGCGGGACTGTGAAGGGGGCAGTTGGGGGGATGGGGGGTGGGGGGGGGGTGGGGGGCAGGGGTGGATAGTGGAGGCGCGGGAGCCGCGCGAAAAGTGTTTGAGCGGCGGTCCAGCTCCGCAGCCAGGGGTAATCACACTTCTTGCGAGGCGGCCGGTAAATACCCGTCCTCGTCTGCGAGGACTTGGAGGAGCCAGCGCAGATAGGCATGGGCCCCAGCGGGGAACGGGCCTGCGGCGGTTAGGCGGGCCAGTTGGGCGCTAGCTCCGGTGGACGCTGTAAGGGTGAGCGCGGCACGGAAGGCAGAGAGGTCGACAGGGAGGGCGTCTGCCAGGGTGTCACGCGCCTGCGTCCACCAATCGCCGCAGCACGCCTGCCAGGCTGTTACGACGTCCGGCGTGAGGGAGCCGGCTGCGGCCCACAGGAGTGGGACGTACAGCCAGGAATTGGCCGTTGTGGTGACGGTGGCGGGCGGTGGCCCGCGTTGGTGCCAGGCTGGGGGAACTTGCGTGGCTGGACCGGGAAGAGGCATCTCTGCTCCGGGACTCCTGCAACCCCGCACGCGCGGGACAAAGCATCATCGTGCTCGGGGTCCGCGGGCCATGGGCACCTGCAGTGTGCGCAGCGCGGGGGTTGGACCTGCGCTCTGAGGCGGGCTAAGCAGGAGAAGTGATAGCGTTGGCCACAGTTGGGCCACGCTATGGGCCGTCGTCGCCTTTGGCAGGCGGCAGCAAAGGGCTCCAGGCAGATGGGGCAGGGGTCCATGGGCGGGGCGGGCGCATCGTCGGAGTCGCTGAGCAGGATGGTGTCGGCGAAAGTGGGGGGTATTGGGGGGGAAAGCTCCGGTGGGGCGTTGGACCGGGGTGGGCCGGGGTGGGTAGCTTCGCCGAGGCGGCACGCGCGAAGTGGCCAGCCCGACCATCGGCATGTCCGATGTTGGAGTCGCGGAGGATGTTTTGGGCGGGGGCGGGTGCGGTGCCAACGCCGGGAGCGCGGGATGTGCTTGTGGGGCCGGGGGTGGGCAGGCCACACCGTGTTGAGCGTGGCGGTGAGCACGCGGCGGGCGCGGCGGCCGATGGCGGGCGGGACGTCGTGGCCGGCGCGGGGGTGGGGTGCGTTGGGAACGCCGACTGGTGCGGGGGGTGGGTGGTTGCTGTGCGAAAGGGCAGCGGCGGCCGCCAGGAGGTAAAGGAAAAAGGTGAAACGTTGCGGGGTGAAACTGGGCCGTCGTTGCGGCGGGGGTGAGGGGGGTGAGCCTGCCACACTTGAGCGGCTAGCCGGTCGGCCGGCAACGTGGTGCTGCTAGGCTTGTGTGCTTTTGGACTGGAAAGTTTTTTGCTTTTTTTTTGTATTGGTTGGTGCCTTCCTCTCGGGGTGGGAAGGCGGAGGCGCTGCTTGTAAAGGGGAGCGCGCTCTCCGGGGCTTGCTGCCTTGAAATGAGGTGGCGCAAGCGAAGGGGTGCCCCCCGGCTAGAGGCCGCGGAAAGGGGAAGGGGCGGGGGTGACGGGGCGGCCAAAAGGGTTGGGTGCGGGTGGGGCAGAAGGGGCAAAGGGGGAAGTGCTGAGGATAGGTGCACGGGGTGCCGCAGCGCTGGTCAACGGCGGGTTGGGGCGGACAAGGAAAGCCGCGCGTGGCGGGGCCACCGGAGCGCGAGGGGCCGGGTGCGGCAAAAGGGGCGGGGTCCGGCCGGGCAGCAGGGGCCGCGGCGCGGGCGGGAATGCGGAGCGCGGATCGGGCGGCGCCGGGGAAGGGACCGAGATCGGCTAGCCGGGATTCGGCGGTGCTGGGGAGGGAGTAGGGGAGCGCTCGCAGCCGGGCGCCGGGGAGACGCTGGGGGAAGATGCCGTCCGGGGGCGGCGGTGGGCTGGGGCGCCGCGGGATGGGGTCCGAGAAGGGTGGCGGGCAGGAGCCGGCGGGGGGGATGGGGATGAGCTGCGGGAAAAGGCCGGGCTGGGGGAGCCGGGGGGAGAGGTGGCAGCGGGAGGGGCGGCGGCGGGAAGGGGGGAGACGGAGCCACCTACCCTAAGCCAGGCGGCCAGGGGGAAGGTGACGGTGGCCCCGTCGCAGGCGGCGGGGAGGGTAGTCCCACGCAGGCCGAGGAGAACGGGGTCCGGGGCCATGCGCGGGGTCAACAAGCCAGAATGGCCCTGAGCCAAATGGCTTGAGCCAAAATGGCTACGGATATGATTGTGAGTGTATCTATTATAATGTGGCAAACGAATAGTAAACCATCCCCAAAATCACAATAAAAATGGGTTGTAAATAGCATCTCTCAATGGTAGGTTGATGGCATTTTATGTTGCCCACATCAAGATTGACTCATGGGGATCATCCCAGTCATGAAAATCAACATTGATCAGTGTTACCATCTCGTTATGACATTCACAGTTTGCCATGGAAAGATCCACCATGCTATTAAGAACGGTAAATCATCTATTTCGATTAGGGCCAGCCATCATTTTCCATGGCAAAGCGTTAGTCATAACCAGAGGCTAATCATTGAAAATCAAACATCATTGAAACCCACCAACCAGTAAACTCGCCGGACTGCGCCTCAAATGGGGGTGGCTGATCAATGGGTGATCCTCACTGTGATCCGTTCCAAAGTTCCGTGGCCAAGTCACCAAGAACCACTACCTTGACTTTTCACACAAAATATAGATGATATATAGATGTATATAACTAGATGATAGATCATCTAGATGATATCAAATTGGATGGGTCCAGATTTTCCCATCAATTTCTGATACGCCCCGTTTGATACTTCATCTTGCTAAAGCGGAGGCATCCCAGCTCGCAATGTTGGATTGATTCTTCCTGTTCTGATTGTGTCCCTACTTGCCGATGGTTCAGCTCAAAACAATATCTGTGGTTTTCTCCCCAAGTTCTTGCTGCGTTTCCACCCATTCTACCCATTCCCGCATAGTTTATAAAGCTATATATGGTTTGTATATGGTGAATGCTGATCAATAGGTTATGTTAACCATTATTGATCACCATTATTAACCATTATGACGAATAACCATATTATATACATATTTATATAATACCCTCAAGTACGAGCAGGGACCCTTGAGGAAGATTTTAGACCCCCAAAAAGTTGTCTGAAATGATTTTCCCAGGGGGGCCCTGGGGATCAACGAATTGCTTTTAGACCTTTGGCAGCTTGTTTTGGGAGGGTTCTGGAATCAAATCTTCGGAAATCAAGCTTATGATCCCTGAACCCCTTCATTTTGGAGCCTTTCTGCTGTCAAAAAAATGGATCAACAATTGCATCCAAGCAAAACCCACAATCTCACAGGCTCAATTGTCCGCCTGTTTCCTTTGCTCCCATGCTAATCCCCTTTTCCTATTTCTAACCCCCCCAATTAATAAAGATCTTTAATTGATCGCCTTTAGAAAACAATTTTAAGGATCATGATCCCATTTGAGGGGTTCATCTTAATACTAAAAACTGATTGGCTGGGGACTGTTTATTATTCGCGTCCCTGACGATCATTTCATTTTTTTATATAGTAAAAATGTGGCAATATTTCAAATAGTGTTAAATATGTTGCAAAATATGGTTTAAAAAGAGCTTTCTGGCACCCAACACCTTTCTGTTGATAAATCAAATTGTTTTTTTCATTTTTGTTCAGGGATTTTGCAGGATTGGGGGGTCTAAGTCCATATCTATGGCCCTTGTAAAGCTAAAGCCACAGAATGAGTTGGGAGATATCATGTCAAAACCTTGTGCAGCAAATCAAATTGGTTTCTTCATTTTTGTTCAGAGGGTTGTATAAGAATGGCGGGCGGGTCTAAGTTCATATCTATGGGCCTTGTGAAGACAAAGCCACAGAATGAGTTGGGAGATATCATTTCAGAACCTTGTGTAAAATTCAACCGTTTCCGAGCAATAAATCATATTGTTTTTTCATTTTGGTTCAGAGGGTTGTACAGGAATGGCGGGTCTAAGTTCATATCTATGGGCCTTGTATGGCCTTGTGAAGAAAAAACCACAGAATGAGTTGGGAGATATCATTTCAGGGCCTCTTGTTGCATTGGTGAATGGTACCTGGCATCCCTTTTTTTTTGATCCGCGTTTATGCACTGTGCATGTTTTGGTTCAGGAGGTTGCGCAGCCAAAACAATAATGTCATATCCATGGGAGTGAACTCGGGTAAATGGTTTACTTTCAAGAACCTAAGATTGCATGGAAGCCACTGGGGTTTCTGCTCCAACAGAACCATGCAAAAAAAAATCAAGGAGAAAACCTGAAAGCAATTCAGATTCTAATCCCAAGCAGGTGTCCCAACTTAATACCGAACTCCCTCCCAGAGATTCAATCATACATTCCGCATAGGAAACTTTCTGTCCAGGACATTTGTGTGCTTTAAAAACAACTTACCTAGTTCCGGATGGTCCATGGATATCGGAGGTGGCACATTACAATATACCACAAGACACTCTAGGAACCAAAACCTCCAAAGGTTTACAATGGGGAGGGTCAAAGGTCTAGAATTGCGCGCGATCCCCATTCTAGAACCCTGGGAGTTATCCCCATGGGGGCGCAATCTTAGACACTTCGTAGTAGAGGGTATCACACACACACACACATATATGTATATATATATATATATGTATATTAACAATATTATCATTAGTGATGAACCATTATATTAACCATTATATTAACCATTATTATTAACCATTATATTAACCATTATATTAATTAACCATTATAGTCACCATTATATTAACGATTATTGATGACAATTGTTAACAATTATATATATATATATATACATTATCATTCCCGGCCTGGACGTGTTCCATGCCGCAGTTCACGAACCTGGCAGCCTCGTAGCTCTTGTCGAGCCCTGGCAGTGAGTTGAAGTGGCAGTTTTCAGATCAGTCAGAAGATTTCCGTAGATCTTGGCATTGTTGGTGTTCTCTAGTTGGTATGTAATGTGTATATATGGTGATAACTATGTGATAATATGCATATATATATATATTATATGTATGTATACAAATTATATACACATACATACGTGTTAATATCGGTAATTACACATCATATAAACACATGTATTAATAAACGTATGTTATATAGGCTACACTTCTATACATATTACTTCATATGATACCAGCCGAGTTTGTTGTAGCCATTTGCCATGGGAAAGTTTGCTCCGTGACCTGATTCTCGATCCTTGTTGAGTCGCACCAAGGTGTGTACCTTCGAGGACCTGTCGGAGAACCAGTGGCAAACATGGGCATTTCATGGTGATTTAACAGGGGATTTAATGGGACGTAATGGTGATGTCCCATGGGATTTATTGGGATTTCATGGTGGAAATGCTCATCCATATGTTGCATGGGAGTTGCATGGGCCTATCGGTTTCAAACCGGACATGCTGTCCGCTGTCCCCTGACTTCTGAATTGATTTTTTTGACAACTGCAGCGAAGCTTCAACATAAGGAATCTAGCGGAAACCCAAAAGCGACAGATCACCCCTACCCTTTGGTTTCTGTCATCCCGTTAGGCACGCCGACGAAAATGTACCAGCTTCATATCGTTGAATCATACTAACAAATTCGACCTGTTCAGTATTTACTCAGGCAATCCCAACATCATAAGGACATTTTGGCATATTTTGGCTATTTCCCCAAAGAGGTTGTGCAAATCCACACTTTATCACCACGCCAGAAACGTTGGGTCAGCATTCTCTCGTTGGAAATCAAGGAGAATCATTACATTTGTTCGGACCAAGCTCTTGGTGAGTCCCAATTTCGGATCGGTTTTTTTTCCCCCATAAGCCACTATACCCTCTGGTAATTTCACAAAGTTATGGAAAATCACCATGTTTACCAGGCAAATCATGGCCCTGCGGTTCATCCATTTTCTATGTCGCTATGTCAGCTATGACCAGAGGGCAACCCACTACCCTCTGGTAATTTAACATAGCTATTGAAAATGACCATTTATAGTGGATTTTCCCATTGAAAATGGTGATTTTCCATAGTTTTTTGTATGTTTACCAGAGGGTAAATCTCACTGGGATAGACCCGACCCATCCATCCCCCTCACCGGCCCATCAGCGTCCAGGCGCTTGAACCAATCCGCAAAATTGGGCTCCGTGGGCCCTACCAGGTGACTGGCGGTGGCTGGGTCTGGATCCAGCACGGTGGTCATCTCAGCCCGCGCCGGACGAAAATCCACGAAAAAAGGCCGTTGAGTGCATGGAAAATAGATGTACCATAGGTGTATGTACTGATATATGTGCCATATATATGTTGATATATATGTTGATATATGATACATACATATAGTGCATTTTAAAAATCAAGAAAAATGTATCATGTTGATATATGTGCTATATCTCTCATATGTAATGATCATTCTATATCAGAAGTGTAATTGTATGATATTGTATGTCTGTATATGTGTCATAAAGGGTCTTGTTCTTGTGGGTATAACGATTCCACCCCCTAGATAAGAATATTTAATACACCCAATTTGCGGCACCCCAAGATGAATAGATGAATGGGTCCAATACTAAACCAAGAGTTCGATGGAGTGGTATTGAATGTTTAAGGAAAGGATTACCGTTGAGTAAAACATTCCTATATTACTGTATATGACCCAGATGTTTCGTAAACATCCCATGTCAGTGCTAAAGTCACCATATCACCAGTCATTGATCGACTACCACCTCCCCCACAGTAAATGTGAACAATAACAGTGTCGTGTGTAAACCACCTTGTTGAATGCATATAAATCACGAAAGAACATGTTCGAGACATGATGCAACTCTATAAAAATCTTTTTTTAAAAAAAAAAAGTATATAAAAGTACTCCGAAAACCCTGATGTTTCCCTATGTAACCTATATATACCCACAATTTGCCCAGGCCGGGCTCGGGCCCAACCACCGGGCCCAACGGGCCATCCAGGGCACAGGATCCGCCAGTAACAGCACTTCCCCGGGGATCACCCAAGCGGCGTCCCACTTGGCGCAGAGATCCGACGTGGCCTCAGCCGGATGTGTACTTCATTGGGTTGGTTTTCATGGTTTTTACCATCAAATATAGGGCTTTCCGGTTAAAATTGGTTTTCTTGGGAAAATCTTAACCGGAAACCCATGGTTTTTACATGTTTTTACCATCAAATTGTTTGGGGGCTTTCCGGTTAAAATGTTCCCATCATCCAATTCTATGAGAACTGTGATCATTGTGGATAAATATAATGAATAAATCATGAATGATCACCATATTTATCCATGATATCATCCATTATATAATAAATCATTAGGATATATCCATGATTAATGATATGATAATCATCATATAATGATATGGATAAATATGGGTAAACATCAATTAATCATATATTAATCATCATTAGGATTTGGTAAACATCACTGGTATATGGATCATAATGATTAATGATATGGATCCTAGGATTTACTATTGATTTGTTTTACTATAATATCCGAATATGATATGGCTCATCATATAATGATTAATCATTATAATCATATAATTGTCATTAGGTTTATTATCATCAATCATTAATTCATATTAATTGACATTAATTGATCATAAACGGTTACTAATGATGATGATCATTTTTCATGATTGATGTTTACAATTGCGATATTCATCTGATAATTAAGCAACCTGATTAGTTTGTTATTATTGGAATGATCATCATTAGAGGTCGTTCCCCTGTTGTATTGTTATGTTCTAACATTAAGCAAAATAATACTAGTATCCTATGTGCACAGTTCTATTCACAAGCAGGTTATTACTATGTGTTAAGCACATTGTTACTATTGGTATTAGCCTCAGAATTCCTAAGATACCTAATAATATGCAGCTATATGTATGCAGCAACAGTGGAAGTAAACCAAACTTAGTGGGGATCTTTATATAAAATGAATTTTGATTTGACCAACATGTATTTGGGATTTGAACAGCAATTATATATAATATAATATAATTTAATATAATATAATATAATATAATATGATATAATATAATAAAATATAATAAAATATAAATGTTTGATATCGGCGTGGGTCAAAACATAAGAGTCAAGGGCCAAGCCAATTGGTTGTCATGTTTAATGTGTCCTATTCATCATCTGTTTTGGGCGTAATTATCAGAAGCCACCCAAATTTGCATGGTCTTTTTTTTCTCAAACTAAAAGGAAAAGCAAACCAATACAGCCCTAAAGGCAAAGATGCCACGGGGTCTGGAAGTCAGCAGGTCGAAGAAACAGATCCCCAACTCAACCACCACCACCACCCAACTGAAAATGAGGGCACATGAGCTCTTGGGATGTACTTACAACGTCTTATAGCATCTTGTAACTCGTCTAGGATAAAATCATCCTGAAATGATCATGGTGACAAGTGAATTGGTCCGAAAACGACCGGGTTAGACAATTTAGATTTGAGACCAAAATTGCAAAATTTGTACCAGCGCGTCCTCCACAAGAGAAATGGACGACACTGAGTCATAAAGTCATAAAGCATCCATGATCAAGAAACATGAATCATAAAACCTGCCGGCGGCTGTAACCTGCCGGCGGCTGGCTTTTATGGTGTTGCTCATCAAACCACCGATGGAAAACACATCGGAACAGTTCCCCAAGATGCTTTGGCATCAAAGCCCTCCACATCCAACCACTTATGCCTGTTGGAGGGGCGGAAATCCAATGGGATGGAAATCCTGTTTCTCGTGAGACCAGGTTTCCCCCCCCCAAAAAAAAAAAGCAATTTGAACATAGGGAAAATGATGGTGTTTTTTTCTTTGGGGTTCCGTATTGTTGAGACAATACCATTTATGAACTAATTACGTCTAAGTATGTAATAGTAACCATTCTTAATTCCACTTAGTAACTAGTCGCTAGGGCCGCTAGGGGGCTGACGTTTGCCCGAAACCCACGGAATTCCATGCGGGACTGCAATCTGCTGCGTTGTTTCGGCGAGTTGTTTTTTTTTGCAAAAGGCGAGCATACAACATTTTGATATTACCTTCGTCTCATGGCATTTTTGCGCTTAGCTGAGATGGCGCCAAAATCACCGTTTGAAGCATGTTTTAAACAAATTCTCTGTAGTTTGCAGAGTTTCGAGCCGTTAAGTAAAACCTCAACAAACGGTAAAAGTTGAAAGAACACCACAATAACCTAACCCTAACTAAAGCGTTAAAAAAACATAAACCAACCCCAAATGAACCATGAATAGCCCTAAATAGACCCTGAAACAAACATACGAAATAGGACCGAAAACAACCCTCAATGGCACCTAATATTAACTAAACAAACCCTAAATTATATAACCCTAAAGAAAATCTAAACCAACCCTAAGTAAACCCTAAAACAACCTCAAATACATTCTAAACAAACCCCAATGTAAGTAATTCCTTCGAGAGCAACTAGTATTAACACGAATTATATATCGTTTGTTATATATATTATACTAGTAACCAGCAACTGTTTTAACATTGTCATTCCATTGAGTTAGTTTCTAATTAACATGATTAGTCAGTTCAAGTCCGATTGAGTAGCGTCTAATTCACATGAGTTAGTTACTATTAGATGCTATCCATTAAGAAGTAGTTGCTATTTCCCTCCTATCCACTAGATACTATTAGTCTATTGATACGAAACCATTTGATAATTTTACCAATAGTGCTAACCCATTAGCTAAGTACTAATTGCCATTAGTTTATTAGTTACTATTGGATACTACTAGTTTAGTAACAGAAATAATCCGTTTTCAGAATTATATATTATAGTATCCAACAGTAGCTCACTCCAATTCGGATGATGTGGGATTCACCCAATGTCATACAACTAATGGTACTTGGGGATGGTTTATCATTGGCTTTACCACATATCACATTATCCTTGGTGGCTCATCCAAGTAGCAAGTGGCGAAAAAAAAAAAAAACGGTTATAAGTGGATTAACAATCATTAACCATCATTAACCATCATTAGCCATCATTAACCATCATTAGCCATCATTGGCCATCATTAACCATCATTAACCATCATTAGCCATCATTAGCCATCATTAACCATCATTAGCCATCATTAGCCATCACTTACCATCATTAGCCATCATTAACCATCATTAACCATCATTAGCCATCATTAAACATCATTAGCCATCATTAACCATCATTAACCATCATTAGCCATCATTAACCATCATTAGCCATCATTAACCATCATTAACCATCATTAACCATCATTAGCCATCATTAGCCATCATTTACCATCATTAGCCATCATTTACCATCATTAACCATCATTAGCCATCATTAACTATCATTAACCATAATTAGCCATCATTAACCATCATTAGCCATCATTAACCATCATTAGCCATCATTAACCATCATTAACCATCACTAACCATCATTAGCCATCATTAGCCATCATTTACCATCATTAGCCATCATTTACCATCATTAACCATCATTAACCATCATTAACCATCATTAGCCATCATTAACCATCATTAGCCATCATTAACCACATTAGCCATCATTAACCATCATTAGCCATCATTAGCCATCATTAACCATAATTAACCATCACTAACCACCATTAGCCATCATTAGCCATCATTTACCATCATATGCAATCATTTACCATCATTAACCATCATTAGCCATCATTAACCATCATTAACCATGATTAACCATCATTAAGCATGATTAACCATCATTAACCATGATTAACCATCATTCACCATGATTAACCATCATTAACCATCATTAACCATCATTAACCATCATTAACCATCATTAACCATGATTAACCATCATTAACCATGATTAACCATCATTAACCATGATTAACCACGATTAACTATGATTAACCATCATTAACCATGATTGACCATCATTAGCCATGATTAACCATGATTAATCATGATTAACCATGATTAACCATCATTAACCATGATTAACCATGAATAACCATCATTAACCATGATTAACCATCATTAACCATGATTAACCATCATAAACCATGATTAACCATCATTAACCATGATTAACCATCATTAACCATGATTAACCATCATTAACCATGATTAACCATGATTAATTAACCATCATTAACCATGATTAACCATCATTAACCAGGATTAACCATCATTAGCCATCATTAACCATCATTAACCATCATTAGCCATCATTAACCATGATTAACCATCATTAACCATCATTAACCATCATTAACCATCATTAACCATGATTATCCATCATAAACCATGATTAACCATCATTAACCATCATTAACCATGATTAACAATCATTAGCCATCATTAACCATCATTAACCATCATTAACCATCATTAACCATCATTAACCATCATTAGCCATCATTAACCATCATTAACCATGATTAACCATCATTAACCATGATTAACCATCATTAACCATGATTAACCATCATTAACCATCATTAACCATCATTAACCATCATTAACCATCATTAACCATGATTAACCATCATTAACCATGATTAACCATGATTAACCATGATTAACCATCATTAGCCATCATTAACCATCATTAACCATCATTAACCATCATTAACCATCATTAACCATCATTAGCCATCATTAACCATCATTAGCCATCATTAACCATGATTAACCATGAATAACCATCATTAACCATGATTAACCATCATTAACCATCATTAACCATCATTAACCATGATTAACCATCATTAACCATGATTAACCATCATTAATCATGATTAACCATCATTAACCATGATTAACCATGATTAACCATGATTAACCATCATTAGCCATCATTAACCATCATTAACCATCATTAACCATCATTAACCATCATTAACCATCATTAACCATCATTAACCATCATTAACCATCATTAACCATCAATTAACCATCATTAACCATCATTAACCATCATTAACCATCATTAACCATCATTAACCATCATTAACCATCATTAACCATCATTAACCATCATTACCCATCATTAACCATCATTAACCATCATTAACCATCATTAACCATCATTAACCATCATTAACCATCATTAACCATCATTAACCATCATTAACCATGATTAACCCTACTTATCCCATAACTGGGCTTATAACCCAAGCGGGATGACCTCGGTCAGACCTCCGCGACCTGGCCTCAGCGCCAAATCAAGCGCCGTCAAACAGGTCGTCAGGGAGAGCTTGCCACTGGGCGGAGGCTTGTGCACGTTGGCCCACGAGTGTTGCCTCGGAAAGGTCTGAAAAAAACCATGAAAAATGATGGTTAAACTGGTCATGTTGTTATGGATTTAAGTTATGGGTTTCTTGGATATAAAAACAACCACAACTGGGATATCATTTGTGTAATAGAGATCTGATGGCTAAATGTTGTGTGATGTTCAATGGAATAAGTTTGGGGATGTTTAGAGTTTAGTCATTTTTTGCCACTAAAGGTCAAGTTTCACCTGACTTAGCATCATTTGTTGCTGCCGAGCAGCCGAAACCCAAGGTCTAGCTGGGCCCACGGTGCCAAGGCCGCCTCTAAACTCAACTTTTTCCTCAGCCACCAGACACACCGACTGGGGCTAAGCCCGGCTAAGCGGCTATCCGAAGATAGCCGGGCAATGGTGAGCTGGGCATGATCTCTCCTCGTTTATGGAAAAAGATTGAAAAGGAATGCCTTATATATCATAAATTATATTATATTATACTATATTATAGTATGTCATATTATATTGTATATATACAGTAAATAACCTGGACTGGGGGCTGAGGCCACATGAAAAAATGCGTCGTTCACCTGTCCTGTTGTCTGGTTGATAGGCTGGTACAATCTTGGAACAGGAGACTGACCAAATCGGCCGTATCCAGAACACCTCGAAGGCCAGCGATAACATGCAAGCAGTGCTCTGAACTGCTACCCTCTGGTAATTTAACATAGCTATTGAAAATGGCCATTTATAGTGAGTTTTCCGATTAAAAATGGTGATTTTCCATAGTTATGTTAGTTTACCAGAGGGTAAGTCTAGCAGATCTTGCAGTTCCAAGAGTCATCAACAGAGGATACGCTGCAACACACAGGGCTGAGAATGGACGATGTGACAGGAACTCCTTGGTGCGGCCAGCTGGGCATTGGAAGCGGCCGCGAAGACGATCCCCCCTTTCTGAATCGATGTGTGACGCGAAACGAATGGTGAAACGAATGGTGAAACGAATGGGGATAGGTCACCTCAAAATAGCTGGGATTTATGGATGTTCATCACCCTAAAAATGGTACTTATAGGTATTGATCCATAGCCAAATTGGTCAAGAAAACAAGAAATGGAGCTGGGCAAATTTAAGCCCTCTACACATAATCTATTGAAGGATTCTCTTGGAACACTCAACATATTTGGATATGGTAAAATCGACCATCTCCCTAAGCATATCCCCACTGGGAGTCGAATTTCTGTGGCTTTCCCCAGTGACCCCAACACTGGAACGACTCTTTTGGGGCCGGGACACCTTCCCAGATGGAGCAATGACCAGGACCTTCTTGTTCGCCTCGATCTTCTCGCGGATGATGCGGCAACCTGGGGAAGGACTCTTCACCAAAAAGGCATGGGGTGGGATTCGCTGGGATGTTCCCCAATGTTTTTGGGAGAAAAATGGAAGAGGGGCAACCTGCTGGCTGCCATTGCTCTCCAGTTTTTTCCTGTGTGTTGCTTTGGAGGGAGCTGTCTCAAGTGTATAAGATGGACCTGTGCTACGTCAAGCAGGTTAGATTGCCCCTCAACAATGCAATCAAGGAAAATCAATGAACAAATAATGTGGCAAACCAAGCATCAATTTTAGAATTCACCCACCATTGAGATGTGGGGTAATTATATGTGATAGTATAAATATTAGCAAATGGGTAGATTGCCGTATTGCCATGTTCGCTGCAGGCCAAACGTTTGCCCACCACGGATATCCTTTGATATGCTTGAATCCCTTGATAGGGCCAGCGTTGTTCAATTATTTACAACCACAAATTACAAAGCTCAAAGAACCTAAACCTGCTCACCAACTCAAACCCTGAGACTCCAAATCCTGGAAGCCTAGAGTCAAAATCACTGCGTGTAGCCGGTGTTTTCGTTCTTACTCTGGTGACAAACACGGAACTGTTTAGTCTGGATGTGACATTTGGTTGTGGGCAAACCGCTGAACCATGTGGCAGACGCAACCATAAAGCTCCAGTTGGAGATGGTTTATACTACCCAGTTTGGTACAGGAAAACTGGGGACGGCTTACAGTTAGATTTTCTACACTGGAACCTCTTTGAAGGAACCTCCCCTCCCACCTTCAACGATCTGTTCAAGTGAGGGCGGTCCATCATCGTGGTAGTAGCCTTGGCTGGCAGGTAGTAGAAAACTTCAGACACACTACAAGTAACAGGACATGCTACTGTATGTTCAGGCCGTTGGTATGGCTGTGGTTAAATCTACCAGATTCTGTTTCGCCAGAAGTTGAATATCTCCAAACATCTCCACACCTCCCTGGTTTCCTGCAAGGTGCCCTGGATCACGTAGTGCGGCACGTTGTACTGGCCCTTTCCCACGCGCGCTTCGTTCAAGAAGCACAGCACTTCGGCGTCGCCCGCTAAGTCGGTGGTCTGGCGGTTTTATGTGATCCGTTTCGATCGGATCATGGGGGTGTTTGAACGGTAGGTTTCCGTGGGAAGAACATAGAAAACCTCAGGGAAAAAAACATAATTATATATATATTATATATATATGTGTATATATATATATATGGGAGTTTTGATGGGAACATCCTGGCCTACAAAATGGATCAAAATGGTAGATTTTTAACGGGAAAATATGAGAAAATCATCGAACTAAATGGAGGATTTTCCAGCAAGCCATGTGTGATTACCGGAGGGCATGATATATAAGCACGTTGTAGTGTTCGAATCTAATCACGGCTGTCCAAGTCCCGCTGCCCCTTTTGGAGGCCGCACCCTGACTTGTAACTCGTCCCTATTAAAATGGGCACTGCACTGTGTTTCAAAAAACCACTTAATACTTCAATTCAAGTGGCGAAAAGTCCATCCCACCCGTGCTCGTGACCATTTCATAACTCAGTCCATTTGGAGATGATTTCCTACTCAGAATGGTGCATTCCCACCGTTGGCGACGTTTCCCCTCCCAAATTCAACCAGGCACCAGGCACCACAACGGGGAGGGATCCTGAATGATCTTCCTTCCCATGTATGCTTGTGCGTGTCTGGGTAGGCATTGCAATAAAACATATTAAAACTACAACTTTCGAATTCCGTCCCAATTTCTCAGGAAGCATCTAGTCATTAGATTAGTTCTATCCTTATTCAATGCCGCTGAAATCCCTGTTCTGCTGTTAAAACCGCCGGCCAACTAGATTACTGCAGCTATGTACCCCGTGAAATCCATGTAATCATACATGGTTATATAATGTTATATGGTCAAATAATGTCAAATATGTCAAACCATCACCTAATACGATAATTTGCGTCATTTTTCATCCATTTTTGCTGGCCAACCCTCCCACCTTCGGCTGTACCACTGCACCCGCAGATTCGCAGCTCACGCCATCAGCCCAGCGCAGCTCGCCGCACACATCAATCACCACCATCCCAGCCGCGGATCCGTCACTGGTGAAGCTGAAACGGCGGGGATAGCAACGGATTTGAAAATAGGGATGGATAACCCAAAACCTCATGGTTGTCCATTGATGTTCCTGCCATTTACGGATAAATATTGATAAATGAGCTACTATAAATTTACGGTAGTATGGCCACTCGCCAGTTACCCAGTGGAGTGACCAAGCTGGGCTTGGCCATGAACATCGGACAGGCATCTAATGGGTACGCGCCTGCGGCTTCACACGTTTCAAATCATCGATGTTGCTGGGAAACTTGAGAAACCACTTATACACATGTGGCTGCAACAAAACCTGATGATGCTGGAATGATGCTGGATGATCTTGACCTGTTTGTCGCCAACACCCCTGGCTGGAAATTTCACAAGAAGAGATACAAGGCAGCCACCCTACCCACGGGATAGAGTGGATTTGAGTTAAACAGCTATAAGCAATTATACAAACAATAAAAGCATCCGTTGCAACAATATGTATATGTGTTTTAGTATTTATTCATATTTAGATCTATATTATCTATACATATATATATATATACAGTATATATATATATATATATTTATTTATTTATTCATTTCTATAAGATATTAGATATCTATATATTAAAAACAAAGACTTGATCTCTTCCACACATACATATCCTCGAGGCGCACCTCAACTCGTCGAGCGGGGAAGGGCACATTTCCTGGGGGCCTGATGTCAGTTGAAACTGATGGTTATACCCTGTAAAAAATGGCAGTTAAACAGTTGAAAATGCACAGGTTGATCATCATTTTCCGTGCTCAAAGTGCAATTTTGGTGCAACGTGTATGGATGTACCGCTTTTGGGCAAAGCCATATGCCACTTTTTTGGCCAGCCCATATGCCACGTAGAAAATAAAGGTGACACAGTGCCTATGGATTGGTCGTTGAAACCGCTGTTTTTGACTGGAAGGGCTTCACTCGCAAGGGCTTCAAGACCCAACTTCCCCGTATCCGATTTTTGCTCTCGCCTCCCGCTTATTCATGTTTATTCCCTGTAATTAAACGAGGTGATCACGCACTGGGTGAGATTGCGTATCTGCTGCAGTAACTGAAAGGGGCAGGCGGTCACTTCCATCCATCGCACTGTAGGCTCCCGGCATTCAGGGACTCACGTCAGCCGGCATAGGCTCCCTGCCCAAGTTGCAGAAAGAAACAACTCAGAAGCAACGCATTGTTTCGTAAAGTTTCCCAACCTGGAAGAGTCTAACAATTTAAATGCGCCGTTTATCCATTTTGGCACAGAAACCCATCTATCTACAGTATCCATGACTTGATTTTTGCTCACCTTAGGTTGGGAAACGCCCCACTTTGGCTCCCCATTTCAATCGCTGATGCCCAATGATGCCCAACCCAGTTGCATATGGAAAATTGTGGAAGTGTTATATATATATATATATTTATTGATTTATTTATTTATATTTATATTTAATATTTATGGCTTAGATATGGATTCACCACTTATGGATTTATGATTTATGATGATATTCCCAGTTGGTTACCCTCTGGTAAACATACCAAAAACTATGGAAAATCACCATATTGAATGGGAAAATTCGCTATAAATGGCCATTTTCAATAGCTATTTTGACATAACCAGAGGGTAAACCTCCATTTTCCTATGGTTTTCCTATGGTTTTCCTATGGTTTTCCCATGGTTTTCCCATTAAAACCTCCATATTTGATTAATCAGCCACTCACTGGGGCCATCCATAGCTCCCAAGCTCCAGCCTGGAAATCAGCTGCGACGGCGCCAGCTGACTCCCGTTTTAAGAAGCCCCGCAGCTGCGGAGCCACACTTATATCATATGTTAAACTATAATTATATTATATTATGGTGTGTTATATTATGTTATATTATGTTATATGACATTATATTATATCATATATTTATTATATATTATATATGTTATATTATATATACCTATATTATATATACCTATATTATATATACATATATTATAATTATATATACATATATTATATTTATATATTATATCTATATATATATATGTTAGATGTATATATATAATATTATATTATATATGTATATTATATATATATACACCATCATACATGTCATTGGGTGGCGTTTTTGTTGTTGCTTTTACCCCCCCAAGTCCTGATTTTTGTTGGTGTGTTTGGGTGACAAGGTCTACCTGCCGGGCAGTCGTTGATTCCAGCCATCTGATTCCACAGCTCCTGTTTTTTTATCTCTGCCCACGCGTTGAGCTGTTGGACTCCTGACAAAATGGCCGACAAATCTGGAAGCCCTGGTGCCCTTGGCTGGTCATCTGAAAATTCGCAGTTTTCCCAACGAAATCGGCCAACTGTCATTGGGTTGGCTCAATGGAATTCTCAGTAGTTCTTACCACTAGAAGTTGGGGATTTTGTGCACGACTTCCCTTCATCCAAGTCCTGAAAAGTTGAACACCGACAAAACACTGGATTGCAATCATTTACCGCACATTTTGGAATTTCATTCCTTCCATTTACCCTCCAACATAGCCATGGAAAATGCCCCCTGAAAGCAAATGATGTTGCATGATTTATCTATGACTTCCATGGCCATGTTACATGGCAAACACGTAGATTGTTTGTTTTAAGTCGGAAACGTGAAACATCAACAAAAAATAACAAACCATAAGAAAACCAATGGGAAGCACAATCATTTGCCATACATGTGCGGAATTCCATTTCATTCCATGGATTAGCGTCCGTTCAGATCATCCACTAGTAATATCCCATTCATCATGAAAATATTCAATTATTAACCCACTATACATTATATAATGGATATGTTATATATATAATAGTTATCCTGATCATACTCACCCATCATTATCCCATTCAATTGTGTGGTGAGGGTATGAAAATATGTCATTCATTACATTCATGTTGTCATGGTTGTTGTCATGGTTTTAATGTTAAGCCGCTAAGCATGTAGTTATGTATCTAATGTTCATTTATGTTGACTTATAAAAAAAAATGTTAGTTATCTAATATATAGCTATCTATAATAAATATAGACTATATATTATAGTTATTTGCATTATATTTAATGGTGTTTTATCTAATATGGATATAGTTATTTATCCAATGTTCTATTTATCCAGTGATCATTTGACCCACCAATTCCGGCCTTAAAGGTGGGCAACATGCTGGGCTCTTGTGGCTGTGGCACCTGCAAAAAACGCGGCAGGTTTAAGGCAGATTTCACAAAAGTGAAGGTGATAAGGTGATTAAACAACATGTATGGTCACTTCTTAAAACTTGATAAATGATATGAAGCCAGTTTCTAGATTCTACATGTTGCTATCCCATATTTCTTGGATTGCAACGTGTAGAAACTGTAAACTACATGTATAGTTTTAGTGTGGCAAGCCAAGCCAATAAATATACAAAGTTGAGCCCCCAGTGAAACTGTGTGAAACAAACACCCTGTATAGTTTTAAAGGCTAAACCCAAAATGTTGATGTCAAAATTGCGTACTGTACCTCCAAATTTCTCCGGGAAAAAACACGGTATTACTCCAAATTTCACTGAGAAGTACCCGGTGAAATATGGAAGGCTTTTTTTAAGCATCACTTTCTTTTTCAGTGACTTTCGGCATGATGACGGGCTGTAGCAAGGCCCAGGTGATGGAGATGCCTCTTGAAAGTAGTGGTGCTCCACTGCATCAGCTGCCGCCAGACGCCTCCGGGCATGACAAGTGGATAGACCAATGGGTGGCAACTCAAACGGTGGCATGATGCGTTTCTCAAATCTTGCACCGTGGTGCGAACGAGCGTGAAGTTTCAATCCAATCACGTATTGCATCCCCTGCGAACAAGATGTCAATGATTTTCACAGATGTGGCCAGCATACGTCAACTTCAGCCACTTGACAACATGTCCAGCATTTCCACAATAAGCCTTGCTGGACAGCATTCCAGCAACCCCCGCATTAGCAGCAGGCCCAACTCCGACAGCGTACTGTCCGGCGGCTCGGGGAAGAGTTCTCGCCAGCCTGGCTCAGGAAGTCTTCGCCGTGCGTTGGCCATCGTTTTTTGGGCTGTTTGGGGAGCCTAATAAATCCCTAATAATGTTTGGGTTCTTCAGGGCTTATCAACTAGTAACCTCCAATAACCAAATTGCATACTGAGCATCTATTGATAATATTTGATAATGATATTTTATTAGCCATCTATTTTGGTTGGTCACCTTCGGGGAGACTTGGTTGAACCCCCACGGATGCATTTGGGTTTGGTTCATTCTCCACCTTAATGATCGATATCTTCAAAATTAGATGAGGGATACCTTTTGGTAATCAAACATGGCAATGGCAAATCATTGAGATCCATTTAGTCCAAGGATTTTCCCATCAAAACGGACCTCTACAGGGGACTTCCCAGCCCGTTTCCTGGTTGAGCCTATCACCGCCCATGCCAGAAGCTCCAGAAGCTTCACAGATTCACTCCCCATTGCACCTGGCATGGTGTCCTTGAAGCTTTCCAGCATCTTCCAGTGGGGCAACTCGCTACATCCAGGCCACGACTCCTGCCGAAACTGCGAAAACGGCCATTTCTGGCGGTTCCCAAACCCCATCCCACCAAAATCATGTTTATTGATTTGAAGTGGCCATCCAAAGTGTGAATGGCTCTGGGGATCATCGTCCCAAGTATGGTTGAAAACAGACCATGTTTGCAACACCAAGCAGTTTATCATTGCTGTTCTGCCCATTACTGGCAGCTGAAATCGATCATCATTTTCCCGATTCAAATGCCACTTGAATCCATTTGATTCAAATGGAAGTTTTGAGGTATTCCCCATTTTCCAGGCAGACCCACGTTACTCCCATTACAATTACCGTCCATTACATCATTGTGTCAATGTCAATCATATGTCAAATCCATTTTCAGTGAGGTTCATCGGTGAATCCCCAAGTTTTGGTGGTCAATCCATCCCCCAAAATAGCTGGCAAACCCCCAAAGTGGTATAGTTTCACGATCTTAGTTGGCCTTGATTTCCGTGGCAAAAGTGCCCCAAACCTTTGGGGCCCAGAACCCGAGACGACGCCTCGTCTGGTAAGCCCACAAGGCCCATGATGAGCCCAAGCTGATGCATTTCGGCCTTGCCCTGCCACGGCAGCAAGTTGGGTGTGTTGGCAGAAAGCACGTCACCAACTTGGGACCTATAGCAATGCCCATTTCAAAGATAGAATATGACTTTCAAAACATTAGTGATCAATTAAAAAGCGTTCCTGCATCTTTTTTTTGGGATTACTGTAAATGGAATCAATCCAAATTTAGGGATGCAAAAAAATGTAATATTGGAAGGTGTAACTCTACCAAACATTTGGGTAAAGCCAAGAATTGATGGTTAAAACAGTGGGCTCATCACATTTCCTCTATCAGCGTCACCTTCTGAAATGGTGAACCACTGCTTAACCACCAATCCGTGGCGTTAGACCATTTACCCCCAACCCAGAAATGAAAATCTAGAGCCCCTGGGCGAGGCATCAGCGCGACAAAGGGGTGTACCCACAATTCATGGCAAGTTAAATAGGGATGATGATGACAAAAATATGACAAACCATCAAATTTAGGGGTACCCTCATTTCAGACAAATTATATATATATAATATATATATATAGTGTGTGTGTGTGCGTGATATGATATAACAAATACATTCCAACATCACGTCTTTTCTTCGAACTGGTCGGCAAGGTTGGGTCCTGAAACCAAAGAAAGGCCAAGCCCTTTGCAGATGAGCCAATATCAGAACCACCAGGGTTTTTACCATTAAGAAACAGCTTCAATCCTCTTTTTGGGGAGCACATTTTCACCATTTTCCATCCATCCTGGGCAAATTACATTCATAAACCGAAAAAAGCTTCGCTTCATGGGGATCTTTCCATTGATCTGCAGAATGTCCCTACAATTCTCCCAGTTTTATGGGCCGACCGGTCGGCCCAACCCACCATGGTGGGGACGACCCGGCACCTCGAAAACGGGGCGCCGCAGCAGCATCTCTGCGAAGATGCAGCCACTGCTCCAAACGTCAATGGCGTTGCTGTAGGTCCTGGCAGCCAGCGGTGCCAAGTCTCACTCTACACACTACATACATGCCATATATATATATACTGCTATAGAAAGGCATAAAAACTCTCAAAACTCCAAGTGGAACTATTTGTTGGGGTCAAAACTGAAACAAAAGAGCCAATTGGAAGGACTCATGTATGTAATTGAATATGCGTACATACATATACACATATACATACATATACATAGACATAGACATACACATACACATATACTATATATATATACTTATACATATACATATATACATATATATATATATACATACACATACCTATACATATATATATATACATATATATATATATAAAAAGAAAACTCTCAAAATTTGGGTGATATTTTGCCCCTAAAAAAGCAGACGCTCCTTTGCCCCAGCAGCAACTCAGGAGCTCGGTACCACAGGGACTGTACCTGGGCGCATCGTTCCAGCCGGAAACCTGTTTTAAAAAAAAAACAGTGAAATTCTTTGGGTGATGAGTTGAAGAATTCCCGAACTTGGAGGATTTATGATGATTTATGGATATTTATTGCAAATGAACTTGGGACACTAATTTATTATTATTGATGTTCATTACATTTTATTGCATATTAATTAAGCATGCCCAAGAAGGAACGGGAGGCCAAAATTAATTAAAAGATAAATATGAGCGCAAAGCCAAGCAGAAATGTCATGGAGGAGGGCCGAACTCCAGCTCCCAAACTCGGATGTCTTCCCCCACTGAGGCCCTGGCTCTGTGGGTGTAGGGTCTCAAGGGCCTTGGCTGGCGGTTCACTCTGGTGGCCAACTAGCACAACCTGCCGCCTGTCCAAGACTTCTCATGAAAATCCAGGCCAGTCCCAAATTCTGAGCGTCCCAGCTGTCCGAAGTGTCGCGCTAAGCCAAAGTCACAAATCTTCAGGATGCCGTTCCTGTCCGAACTGCCATGGCTTCCCTGGCCATCAGGCCTTTTGCTACACCATCACCATCTCCGATCCCTTCTTGATTTCTGTTGGGGCCATCACCAAACACCTCTCCAATAAACAAACATGCCTCATGGCTCTAAGCTCAAACCATTCAAGATACTTCATCCCACATTGAACTCATATGAACATTATGAACTTATCAATTTCCCAACCCATCCCAGGTGGCGTCTCCCCGCAGCTCTGATCATCTCCTGTCCAAGAGGATGTTGGAGGTCTTCAGATCCCGGTGCACGATCCACATGGCATGCAGATGGGCCAAGCCCAGAAGCAGCTGCCGCAGCAGGCACTTCATCTCCGCCACGGCGAAACGTTGTTGGGTGATGAGGACCTTGAGCCTCAGCGACTCAGCGACTGCGGAGCTTTAGCCTCTGGTCAACATACCCAAAAAAAAAAAACATGGAAAATCACCATAATGTTGAGTCATTGTTTATAGGTAAATACGGTAAATCAACCAGCAATGGCCATGTTCAATAGCTATGTAACAAATGACCAGAGGTTTCGAGGGCTGGTGGGGCTGGTGGCGGCTCCTGAGGAGCCAGCTCGTGCTCAACGTACTCCATGACCATATAGACATGCTGCATGGTATTTCCCAGCACCTGGGCAGGTGCAGAATTCTGCCCCAACATCTCGGAAGCTGACTAGTTCAAGAAAGTTGGGATTTTATATGATTTTATACTCCCCTCCCCCCGAGATCAAATACCCCCCTTCAGCATTTTGGAGGGTCAAACGGGTGGTAGGAATTAATCAGAATGTTCTAGTTTTGACGCACTGGCTCATCAAAGTTCTTGTCTTCTCACTCAGATTGTGGAAAATTGATGAAAATTTGTGTGACCAAATAAGATTCATACATCATCATACATCCCAGAAATGGATGCATGGAACCTTTACAGTAAATCCATGGAAACTCCGTTTTGCCTTAAAAAAGAACCATTGTTTTCCGCAAAGTGGCCATAATCTTCACCAACAAAACCCACCCATTTTGACCACGTTTTCTTTCAACGCTTCGCGGCACCACTTCGCGGCACTGCACCACATTGGGATGGTTCAGCTCCAGCAGCAGCGAAATCTCGCGGATGGATGAGACCTTCCCATCCCACGGCTGGAAGATACGGTTGGGAATGATAGGATCCGAACATCGAGTTTGAAAATGATAGAAAAAGATAGCACAGTCCAGTTTAAAGCTATCATTTACCAACTGGTAATTTAAGACTGTGCTATCTCTAATGCGCATAAATAGGCGATTTTCCATAGCTACATACCAAATTACCAGAGGGTACATCTTCCCCACCTGGACATCTGGGACAAAGAAGTGAAGCCCCAAGCCATGAAGAAATCGACAATCCCCTAAAAATTGATGTTTTAATATGTTTTAATGGGAGAATCAACTATAAATGGTGGATTTTTAATTGCCATGTTTCCCCACAAAAAAAAATGGATGTTTCACTCCTTAAACCTTGGCCGCGAGAAAACATGGACTTCGGGGTATGAAATATTCACACGTCCCCATATGTGCTGACAAAAAACCGGGAGAGAGAGAGAGAGAGACAGGAAACAAGAATCCCCTCAAAATACCTTTGAACAATCATCCTTAGAATCTTGCATATTTATTGCATTTCTTATAATGTCAACCCCGGATTTTCATAAACCATTTAACTTAAATGGTACCCTCCCATTTTTTCACAGCCGTTTGGGGTTTATTAATCCAGGGTTGACATTACCCTTACAGCTTTGAGAGCCAACATCCCAGCCCAGGCACTGGAAAGCCCTCCTCCGACTTCACGGCGCCCAGCTTCAACTGCTTCAGCGCCACCACCTCGCCGGTGTCGATCTCGCAGGCGCGGTAGACCACGCCATAGGTGCCTTCGTCGATGCCTCGGCCGGTGACGGTTTTCCTTGGTGTTTTTGTTGCGGGTTTATTTTTGGGGCCAAGAGCTGAAAATGAAATCTATGGGAAATGATTGTCCAACCTGAGATTGTTTGTTTTTAACGATGGAAAAACGATTGGAAATCATCTTCCAGATCCAACTGTTGCTCCCTAGTTGCGGTTCAGCTTGCGGAAGCATTGGACGCTGCGGCAGCCCTGGTTCAGGCAGTTCTCTGCCCAGCCGCCCACACGTTGGCGCTTGGCGGCAGCTTCACCGTCTGCGGCATCGAGGGTGGCCATGGCGGGCCATGGGTGCCACGAAAAGGAACTGCTGAAGGCAGTCTGGGGGCAATTTGGGGGGGACTAAACTAGTTTGCCAGAAAAAAATGCAATTATATAATGAAAAATACTAAAAAAAAAAAAACTGGTTTCAGTGTTCGATATGTTCGATTGCCGACGCTTAATTCATCTATTAAAGTTAGATTGTTTTCATTGACAAGTACGCGTACACCGCTATCAAAGTTACATCATTTACAGATTAAGTGCATCCACCCACAGGGGTCAACTTGGGTCAATTTGGCCGAACTTCTTTGGGCCAACGACTCGAAGATCGTCGCATCAGCCAGGCAGGTGCCAGACCAGAGGTAAAACTATAGCTTCTGAGATCTAGTCTAGTAAATCCTAAATAGCAAAACATTAAGATTATTTTTCTTGGGTATGTTTGGACCGTGCACCTTATACCTTATACCCTTGTCCGGGGGCGACAGCATGTCTTACAACATGTGTTAGGAACCATGGATACGAACTTCCATGAATATAAACTGCGATTTAGGATTTGTTGGGAACCGGGAACTCACCATCCAATTGCTTCCAGCAGGCCCCCCACTTCTCATCACTTTTTTCCTTGTGGCGACTACACACTGACCATGGGTCTGACGTGTGGACTCTCTGATGCTGCTGATGGAACAATGGCAAAGTTGCAGCTTCACTACTATAGGCTATAGGTGGGTGTGTCTGAAAATAGTGTACCCCTAAACCCAATGGTTAATGATCATTATCCCTATTAAATGGCTATAATTGGGAATATACCCTATTTTCAGACAAACCCATAGGGTTCACGTGTGAAAGAAGTCCACAAAGCAGTGACCCAGCATCAAATTCGGATGATGTCAGTTGAAAACTTCTGGCTGCCATCTGGTCAATCAACAGGCTCCCATCTGGTCAATCAACACCTGCGCTCCCTACATGCTCACCATCAAAACCGTCATCAAGGCATGCAAACATTTTTTCAAGCTAGCATGCCAGGACAAAACAACAAAGACCAAGCAAGCCATCCAATTTGGCAGGGCCAATGTCAAGATGCCGTCACATGCGCACAGGTCTTGACATGGCTAATCTACAGTAAGATCTTCTGCAGCAACCATGCTGGGCAGCATTCTCAAATGTACATATCCCATTTCAGCCAAAAATTAAACGCTTCACTACCCAATCAAGGTTTACAGTTTACCCAGTTGATTTGCCCAGAAGGGCCCACCAGGTGCGGGTGCCTGGTGAAGTGTGGCCCGCGGCGCCCACCGGGGCATCTCAGTCATGCGGAGAGAAGGCCTGCATTGATACAATACTCATTGGTTGAAACGGATTCCATACCACTGGCTTGGTGGTTTTTCATCAATCCCACAAAACCAGTGATCCCACCAGAAAGAAATGAAGGGGAAAACTGGGGTTGCTCCTAAAAAGAAGCAAGCACATGCCTAAGTTGCAAGGTAGAGGTGCTACTTTAAAAACTCGGAGGGTATTCATAGACCTCCGCCAGGAGCATCTGACAGTTAGGTGTTGAGATCGGTTCGATCAATATGCTGAGTTCAATACACTCGCTCTTATGCCTCTCAACAGCCCCCCCGGCGCCATGTGTCCTTCAGACTCCCCAGACTGCATTTGTTCAGCAAATGGGAAAAACCACCGGAACAAATAGCAATGGTGCGCGTCAGGCTGCTCATTTCCTCGCGTTCTTTTGTCTGGGCATCTCTTACCACGTTGTGACTGCCATACTGGCCTTCCATATTTAGCTTAGCAAACGGTCCTAAGTAGAATGACAGAAACCTTTTTGCAAATTGCCCGTTCGGTCCCTGCTCCTCGCAATGGTAGAGGTGCGATTTCCCCACAGCTGGATGAAGAAAATTGCTCCGGCCTCAGTTCAAGTCACAAACCAACAGGCCCAAGTCACTGACAAAATGGATTCGGTATGAATTGTGTGTGATTTGTCACTATTCACTATTCACGCTTGAGATGTGTGAGGCAAAAATGTACTGCGTGACAGAAGCAAGAGCAGAGCACCATAAAAGTTCACAAGCTGCCGTGCTCACTTCCCATTTCAGCCCTTGTTCATCTACGCATCCGGCGGCCAACTCTGTCAAAGTGCCTTTGTGGCATGTGGTCGCTGGCTTTCTGACTTACTAAGTCTTTTGCCAACAGCTTTCTGCTTCCTAACCAAGGCAGCTGGTTACAACGACGGCTACACCTTTGCTGTAGTAAAAACACTGTAAATGGTCAAAGGTGCGCACGCCTAGACCCTATCACCCCAGTGGATCCTGACGGTCCGTGGGCACAGGTTACTGCAATACGCAAGGCCCATTGGCAGCGTGCTGTGCATCCACTTCTGCACGGCGAATCTTCCGGACTCTGTGATTAGAATGTGTCAGATTCGTCTGCTTCATCTGTGTGAAATCCACTCCGTAGGTGAAGCCGTGGTAGCCAGACTTTACTTCTGGATTCTTCTCCCCATCTGCAAAGCGCTGCTCGAGCTCTTCATGCAAATGCTCATCATATGGATGCCATCCCGCAAACTTGCCATCTTGAGCATGCTCCAAGTAGTATTCCCAATGCATGACCTTCTTGGCACCCAACTGCTGCATGAACTCCAAGTACGATTCTGTGGGTTTGATGTTGCGAGCACAAAACAGCGCGGAGTCGGTGCTTTTTGAATCCCCATTGCCAATCCTGGCACGGATGAGGTAACGCAGGCGCACCCGAGAAGTCTCATACACAATGAACTCGTTGTCACGAACCGAAGGTCCACTCTGCTTGCCTGAAGCAAAGGTGACAGGGCTCATGCGTCCCATGGGGATGTCACAACCCTCCAGCATCGCATGCTCCGAAGAACCAGAAACAAATGTGGCCGGCGATGGCCACTGGCGTCCGACTCCCCAGACCGAATCGTAGCCAGCCGGAGGCTTACCACCGGAAAATATGGAAAATGTAGAAAATGCTGGATACATGGATCCGAGGTTGACTTCTGCCAGGGCAATCAAGCAGTCACTCTGGTCTGAGCAGTATGAGAGCGACTTGCTCGTGCCATCCGCAAAGTAAATCCCTGGTCCAAACAACCCTGAGTGCTTTGGCAAACGGAGCCCGTAGCGGAGGATGGACACAAAGCTGGCAGTCTTTGATCCATGCCATAGAAGCACCTGGTCGTGTCTTGGGGGAATATGTGGAAAAAATTGACACGTGACTTGCGTGAAAAGTTGGGTGGCTTCGGTTCTAGAACCGCTAATTACTAATATTACTATTACTAATATCAAGTCTCCTCCCCCACCTGGTTATTGGAGCGATGATTGTTCTGCTCTTCTTTGCGGGCGACTCGGAAGACTTCGGCTCCCATGACTTGCTGGTTGTCCGACATGTTCTGCCGCATGTACTGATGGATCAGCTGGGCTTCTCCTGACTCTGGGTCTACTGCATCTACCTTGCAGTGCTCAAGCAGCGCGTCATAATCCTGGAGCTCCTGGTTTGTCAGGATGTCATCCAGGAGCTCCAGAATCTCGATCTGTTTCAGCAACTCCTCTTCCGATGCCACCTTCTTGACTTTAGATTGCTTGGGCATCACTTGCAGAAGTTCTTTGCTCAAACTGTCGACACTTTCCTCACTGCCATTGGCAATGGCGTCGCGCAGCTTGGGAATGATGTCCTGTGCCTTCTGCACGTTGGACTTGTCGACACCTGCCGCAACACTCACGCCGGCCTTGCGCAAACGATCTTGGAGTTGTTGCTGACTAGTCGACTTCAACACAGCACTTCGGATTGAAGCCGGGATGCTGGACGACATCTTCACTTTGCTGTCCGTGGCCTCCTTTCTAAAGTCTGCCACTGGGTCAAGCTTGACTGCGCCAGCTCGACTCTCCCAGTATGCTGGACCACCATGAGGCAAAGTGCCCAGCTGCAAGCGCTCAAAGTAGTGCTTCGAGCAATGAAAATGGACATTGGCCTTGCACTTGTAGTCCCACGATTCTGAGCAATCGTCACAATTTTCTTTGCCTGGAAGATTTCCCATGCTACACTCTTTAAGAAAGCTGCCGTGGAATTGTGCTGCTAGCGGCTAGCTGACCTACCTAACTTGACCTGTTGCAGACTTGAGCCCCAAGCCATGCAGAACGTGCATAGCCTCTAATTTCAAACCTAAGCAGATCCCACAAGCAACAGCTTCGCACACTCTCTTCTGGCACACTTTCTTCAAGGCCACTGTGCATACAAAATCTGAGGCTTGGGGCTTGGGCCAAACGATGAGAAAGCTCTATGAACCCAACGCCATCTCCAAGTTGCATTGTCATCCATGGCAGTGGGCCTTTCGTGCTGCACAGTTGGGAACAAATCCACCTTGCGCCCTTCTTTCCATGTTTTTGGGTTTTAGTCAAAAATGCGTCCCAAGAATTTGGCATTCAAGTTTGACCTGTTACCATCCATATCCATATCATATCCATATTCCACGTCCATGCTACCTTGCCTACCACGAATTCCAGTTGCTTTGCCAAAGGTTTCCCCAGCCTGTGACCCAAACAAGGGAACCGAGGGAGATGCGCCATGTCCTCGACCTTGGGCATGTCACACCCCTACATCAAGGCCGCCAAAAGGAAGCCGGAGTACTGCGAGTACTACAGGGATCACTTGGCAGTTGTCTTGGAGATACCAAGGCTCAAGATGTTTGAGGCAGAAACCCAGGGAAATCCATTGTCAATGAGTCATCAGAATCTCAGTTTTTGATCCTGTGGATCCCTGGGCACTCCGAACATCGCCACGATCCACCGTCTCCAAGGCACATGGCTAGGGGCCACTTAGTGACTTGGAAAGACAAAACCGTGCAGCAAGCCGAGACACGGGACAAACCATCCTCCCCCATGGGCTGAAACGTCATCCTACAAAAAGCCCTGGTTGGTGATCTGGGGGGGTTCCTCAAAAAATAACCATCTGCTTTTCAGGACCCCAAGACCCCAGTTTTTTTTGTGGTGTCAAAATTATCCTGGCTGATTGGAGCTGCTGCATCCTTCCAACATTGGAATTATTGGGATCCAGACTTGGAGGAACATGCCAGCACCAATACCCACTTTTCCTCGTGGCCACTGCCACTGCAACTGGCCATTGGGTCTGACGTGTGGACATCTCTGGTGTTGCTGATGGAACAATGACAAAGCTGCTGCTTGACTACAGGGGTGTCACAAGTGAAATAAGTCCACAAAGCAGTGACCCAGGGTCAAATTCAGATGATGCCAGTTGAAAACGTCTGGCTGCCATCTGGCCAATCAAGACCCGTGCGCTTCCTACATGATTACCGTCAGAACCGTACAAAAACATCATCTAAGCATTAGACTCCATGTGCATACATTTTTTCAACGAGGCATACCAAGAATTGGGTCATTGATGATATAGTTTTAAAAGATACTTAAGTATATGACATGGCTCAAAAATACCAACTGTGTCAGTAGACCACCAGTTGCGCACAATTCAGCAGATTTGTTTCTTCTCGGTCAGGGTTGCTCCTCAGACCCCAGATACAGCAGCGGGGATATTTAGATGAACAGGTAAAATTACCCATGTCCTCCCCTGAAGTTGGAGCAACCCTGTTGATTGGACCAGACTGGGTAAAGCGCACCAGGTGTCGGTGCCCGGTGAAACTAACGCCGGCAACAGAGGTTTCATGGGATTTCGCCTGGCAAAAATATGGATGGGCACATAGGGATACAAAACCAACAATATGATTTGGGTTTGTCCTGAACATGGGGTATACCTCCCTTTCCGGGAAAAGCCATGGATTTTTGGAGGGTACCCTATTTTCAGACGAACCCATTTAAGTCAGTTCGGGTTATTCCCCCATTCTTATTATGTTGAAAAAAATGAAAATGTATGAGAAACCACTGAAACCACCAGGCAGATTGGCATTCCACGTTCCGTTAAACAGAAACAATGGGATTGTTGTGGATGACTGGACTTCAAAATTTAAGGTCCCAGGTTCACAATGATGGTTGGTAATCGTATTGTTCCCTCATAGCTCTCCTCTTTCAAGAGTGAACATGCCATCCAATCCACTGAATTACATGCTTAAACAGACCATATTATTTATATTATAATCTATTATATAATATTAAATTATATTATACTATATTATATTATATTATACTATATTATATTATATTATATTATACTATATTATATTATATTATATTATACTATATTATATTATATTATATATATATATGTGTGTGTGTGTGCGCGCGCTTTTTTGCGGTGCAAACACCAGCGATCAAAAACACAAGAAAACACGGCAAAACGTCACAAATAAGATCTAAGAAAGGCAATCAATCACCGTTTCTAGTGGGATTTGACTTCTCTATCTTTTTTGGTGGTCTGCAACTTCCCATCCACCGCAGACAGACGGATCCACACCTCAACCTGCTATCACACAGACCCGTCTGTCTGCCATCCTGGCTCGTGTTATGTGGGCCCCGTCTGTCCATGCCCACTAATCTGGCAGTATAGGTAAATGGGACTGAATGTGATTGCAGACAAAGTGCTGTGTCTGTGTGCATATATATGTATGTCTGTCTGCCTGCCTGCCTAGCTCTCTGTCTGTATGTATGTATGGATGTATGTCTGTGTATATGCATATATATATAAATAAGTGTGTGTCTGTGTGTGTGTCTGTGTGTGTAAATGGATATGTATATATATATGCACATATATGTGTGTATGGTATATGGTATATGGTATATGATATACGAGGTAGAGTATGTGAATGTGCATATGTATGCATGCATGCATGCATGCATACATGCATGCATGCATGCATGCATGGATGTATGTATGTATGTATGTATGTATGTATGTATGTATTGTAATGTATTGTAATGTATTGTAATGTATTGTAATGTATTGTAATGTATTGTAATGTATTGTAATGTATTGTAATGTATTGTAATGTATGTATGTATGTATGTATGTATGTATGTATGTATGTATGTATGTATGCATGCATGCATGCATGTATGTATGTATGTATGTATGTAACTTACATAACAGTATGTATGTTAATGTAATGTAATGTAATGTAATGTTATGTCATGTCATGTCATGTTATGTTATGCATGCATGCATGCATGCATACGTATACATATATATATATATGTGTGTGCGTGTGCGTGTATGTATAAATTTGGGTATGTATGCATATATATATACACATATATTGCTTATCAGGGACTAGGTGATATCAAATGGTAGCTACATGTTTTCAGGATTGCAATGGTATATTCCTATACCTACCTTTACTCCCAAAAATCAACCAAAGGCTGATGATACGGCTCGAAATGGCTTCCAAATGGCATTGAACATGTGACGTCCATGAACGCCCACAACATCTGATGGCTTTTCCTCAGGTCCTGGAACCAGCTGGCCCTCTAGGCGCCCCCACATGTTCAGCACCGGAATACCACCGGAGACCGGACGATCTTTGCCTTGGTCGTTCATCGGAAGTTGTCCCCGATGGAAACAATGAACTGGCGGCTCGATTCTCTTATCCTGATGGGGCCTAGCGGCCTACCCAAATCGCGGGAAGTTGCGCTCTTGGGATTAAAGAACTTCAAAAAAACTCTCGCTGGCGCTCCCTTCAGTTCGCATAGAAATCAGGAACACTTGGCAAGTGCTTCTTGAAAGTAGGTCCCTAGGTCCCAAAAAACCCAATGCCCCCTGCAAAACACCCATTTCTCTGATCATCTTTTCTGGTTCCATCTTTTGGACAGAATCTGTGTTCAACTCAAGGTTGAGTACCGCCAAAAAGTTGGATGTTCGGCTCCACTGTTTTTTCTGTTGCCTTTTCCAAGCTCCAAAACTCACGAGTTTTAGCGTTCAAACATTCCAAAACATGGCTCCGAACGATAAATACACAGTAACATATATCATACGCATGTATACATACATATATATATGTGTGTGTGTATGTATGTATACATATATATATAATATGTCTATATATATATGAAAACAATAAACCCGGATAAAGCCGGGCATTCAGAAAGTCTGTGGGCTCCCTGGGTCCCAAGTTTTCCCCTCACCTGGACATGGCAAATCAGGAGGACATCCCAAGGAGGCCATCTGAGGCCTCGAGCCGCGTAGCTCCGGTGGAAAAATTCGAGGCCGGTTCCATCCGGAAATAGGTCTGGTTGGTTAATATATGGTTAATGATGGTTAATGATGGTTTATATATCTGGTTATTAACCAATAATTAGGCTAATATCTGGTTAGTACTGTGAAAATAATTAGGCTAATATATGGTTATTAAAATTATATGGTTAATGATGGTTTAAAATATCTGGTTGGTGGTTGACCTACCCCTCTGAAAAATATGAGTTCGTCCAGTTGGCATGATGACATTCAGAATATTATATATGGAAAAATAAAATTCATGTTCCAAAGCACCAACCAGATTATAGTTTAATAGTTAATCATAGTTTAATAGCTCATTAGAAACATAGTTTTAATGATAGTGATCTTTCAATACCATGGTTCATCATAGTCACAGATTTACCAGGCAATCTCCAGCATTCTATGGCTATGTGTTCCAAAAAATATCCAGATATGATTACCAGATCCATCATCTCTGGTACTTTAAAAGGTGTTTTTGGGGCAGCCGTGGCCCATGATGCCATGGAAATAGATGATGTTCTGAGCATGGATTTCCCAGCCATGGTTGATTCCAATGTGGGTAAAACAATGCCCACATTGCACCATCCCCCAGGAAAAATCACCATATTTATAGGTGGTATAAATAAACCATTCCCAGGAAACTGGGTGGTAAACATGGCATTGTTTTACCATTCATTGGTGAATATCTATCATTAATTGGGATAATCATGGGATATACTATTGTGAAGATTGGGAATACTAAGCAATATTAACCAGTATCAACCAGTGTTTAATCCCAATAATAGTTAATAGTTAATAGTTGGTTATAACCCACTATGGTCCCATTTAAATCCCATTTAAATCCCATTTAAATCCCATAAAACCACCATTTCCCACATGGAGCTGCCATGATGAGTTCCAGGCAGAATCGGTTTGTCTCTCTTGGAGCTACGTGGTCTTGGCACTCTGGCGCGGCCTTGATGCGAAGCCGTGGGGTTCCCAGGGAGCGATGGGTCGGTAAGTGGTAAGGGATAAACATCACCCATGGTCATTATGGTGTTTAATAATGGTTAATAATGGTGTAATAATGGTGCTTAATAATGGTGTAGTAATGGTAAATAATGGTTTGATAATGTTTAATAGTGGTCATAATGGGATTTGAATGGGATTATAATAGAAAATCCCCATGGTTAAGGATGATTGATGGTAAATACTGGTTTAGTAATGGTTAATGATGGCTTAAGAAAGGTTAATAGTTCATGACAGTTCATGATTGACAATGATGAATACTGGTTAACATATGGCAACCCAGTGGTTTAATGTATAATGGTTAATACTTGTTGATGATGATTGGATACATTGAGCATTTAATGCTTATCAATGATTAACATGTCGTAATCCCATCCCCCTACCATCAAACACCTCCAGTCTGTGGTCCGGTCTCAGCTTAAGATGCACCCACTGGGGCCCTCACATGGCGTCTTCGGCACCTTCACCTTGGGCCTCCGGAAAAGAAACGAAGTCAAAGGTCATACCCCCAGTTACTATCTAGATATACCATATAAGCATCATATATGTGTATGTATAGGTTGATTTAAATCGACATGTTTACAATTCTTTGGACATGTTTTGCTGGTTCAAATCCCCATTTCCCATCATTTCCCTAGAGTTTTTAAAAATTTTATGATTCAAAGTCCCAGTTTTGCTGCTTCAAATTCCACATCTTTGCACTTGTTGCTGATTAAAGTGTTGCCTGGTCCCTGCCACATGTCAGGGTGGGCCTGGGCATTTCCACCGAAGAAATCCTTGGCTGCCACGAGTCCAATGACCAGATATTGGTTCACTAAGAGATAAATGTATATATATACAGATAGATATATAGAGATATATAGAGATATATATATAGACACAGACATAGACATATAGATATAGACATATACATAAATGTGTATGTACGTATGTGATGTAATGTATTGTCTTGTATTGTAATGTATTATGTTGCAATGTAATGTAATGTATTGTATTTGTAATGTAGTGTAATGTAATGTAATGAAATGAATGTATGTATTTAAATGGAAACATACAAATCTGTATGCATACAACAAATAGAGATACTGGTGCGTACCCACTTCTATGTATATGCAAATAAATTTATTGATTGATTGATTACCATTGCTACTTTATACTGTCATATTATAGTTAGTGGTATTGCTATTATTGCTATTATTTCTATTATTGTCATCATTATTATTGCCGTTATAGTTATATTCACCACCATTACCAGTAGTATTATTTCCATTGTTCTGGTTACTATTTTGATCATCATTATTACTATTGTTGTTATTAGTAATCTACTAGTAATATTGCATTAGTGTTGTCACTACTGTTACTGCTATTACTACTGTTCTTACGAGTATTGCTAACTATTCTTGTTGTTGTTAGTGTTATTACCATTCTTACTATTATCACAATTTCATTTTTATTACTACCAATAATATTTATTATTACTGTTATTTATATATTACTGTTATTACTGTTATTACTGTTATTACCCTCTGGTAATTTAACATAGCTATGGAAAATCACCATTATTAATGGGAAAATCCACTATAAATGGCCATTTTCAATAGCTATGTTAGTTATTACTGTTATTACTATAATCGCGTCATTTCTTTTGGTGATACCCCCTGGCCGCATCCAAGATATCCAAGTCACTGCGAGGTGGCTCTCGAGGTGGCTTGCGACAGGGTCCTGGTGAAGGTCTCCTGAGTGTCCTCTAAGGCCTTCGGCGCTCAAAATGGGACGAAAACACATGAGATTTCAATGGGTTTCTAGATGGTTTTTCCGTGGAAAACATCAGAAAACATCCTGGATTTCAATGGATCTAGGATGGAGATGATGGATTTAGGTTGATTTGAAGGTTGTTTTTGAACGATTTGAAACGGTTTTGACCGCCGAAAAAATCAACAAACATCAACAAACCATCAAAAGGGGGATACGTGCAGTGCATACTAGATACAATATACATTCGTACATAAACACATACATAGTGATATGATATGGAGATGTAACTTGGGGATACGCACTCCAGCAATCTCACAGAGAAATCCGATGTTTCAAGAGTCAAGAGGTAAACAATCATGTACTATATACTTTTATAGGTAAATGATGGAAACCTCATCAAACAAATAAGGAAAAAACATCAAGTACCTGACAACAATGCGAGTGGATGGTGATGATTGATAGGGGCGGTGCAATCGAAAACTGAGTCTCGCGCCTCATGTGTGAATGCTTCCCAGGTAGATGTCATAACATATGCTGGAACGATTCATACTTGTTGACTTTACAAATCTGAATCCCTTTCAACGAAACATTCAACCGGATTTTTGTGGCTCATAGCCGTGAAGATTTCTATTCAACCCTTCACCTTCCCTGGCGCTGCCCTGGACCTGCCTCAGGCTGCGCAGACTCCTCCTCCTTCTCCTCCTCACCCTCCTCTTGCGCGGGAACTTCGGAGGACCACGCCTGGCACGCTGCTGTGGTAAGATTCGATGTAGCTGGAGATATTATATATATATATACATACGTGCATCCACAATTGCATACCACTTCTCAGGGGTACTATAGATATCTGTATATAGAATAGAACAGATATCTGAGTGAAGTCTGGAAAATGAGAGACAGCCCAGGTGCGCCAGTCCCAGCCTGGAAGGACGGATCCGAGGGCGGCGGCAACGGGGCGATGTCATGGGAGTAGATGCAGCTCTCACCATGGGGACCTGGGGCGTTTTGGGTTTCGGGCTTGCGAGGGGTGCTGGAGCCCAGGAAGGAACTTGATTCTGCTTGGCTCACGAAAGGGCATGGTATGCAAAAAAAAACTGCACAGATGCAAAAAAACCTTTATAAAGTATATAATGTTCAAACCGATTGTGCGATCATTGTACTAAGGCAAGGAACATCATGTTAGCCTCGTCAAGGGTCACCCTAAAGAAACTCACCGCCAAAGAAAACCCGGCGTTATGTCACAATTTGCCGCGAGGGAAAGCTGGGACCCTGACAACATCCCAATACAGCAAGGAAGCGACATGGGAGCATGCTGCAAAAGCGTGGCCTTGGTTGAGCAGAGTGCTATCAAGCCACCTTCCGGAGAGGTTGTGTGACATGTGGTATTGGGTTGACGGCACTGAAAAAAGACATAAAGGACCAACACCACAAACATCAACAGAAGAACGGTCCCCTGCAAGCTTCATTCACATCTCGATTTGGGGGCACTAGCTAGTTGCACAGTTGAAGGATTTTTTACATCTCAACACAATTTCGTCCTTGATTCTGTTGGTTGACCTACATGCTGTCACCGTGGATGTGAATGGTGTGACCCGATCTTCAATGTTCTTTGATCTCTTATCACCACTATTCACCACTTCTAACCCCAGTCCATAGCTACCAGATTGTGGTACACGTTGCCAGCCATCCCAGGCCCCGAGGTCATCCCCAGGTTCTCTCAGGTGCCCCGGGCGCATTGGCGCAGTACAGCGGATCAAACTCCCGGCGCGGACGGCACACTTCGTGCACGAAGGTGCAGCTGGGCCTTGGAGATAGCCAAAAAAAAATCATCAAAGATGGGGAGAATAAGAACAACTGGGGAAGACAGGTGCAACCCTAATGGATGGTTAATGGATGCTTATTCCCCCAAATGGTAATCATTTTGATAGGTTTTGGCCCATCCCCAGAACAACTACAAACATGGGGTTCATAGAAGAGATGAATGGATGTTGCGATTTCATTCTCTGTTCATAATACACACCCCGTTTATCGGGCCATCCAAATAAACAAAATCACAACAGTAGCCGGGGTTTCTACAGGGGGCATATATATATATAATTGAAAGGGATTCAAGGGTGGAGAAGTGGGGTTGCCTTCTAGGAAACAAAAATGGCTGGGACATCCCCAAGTTTAAAAGCACCATGTGTCGACTCATGGAACTGGGACGTGTGAACCCATGGCCTGAAGATCCCAATGATGGCCATTTGGTGCTCCTGAATCATGTATGTCCTTTTCGGCCGTGTATACGTCTTAGTCATAAGAAGTCATGATCAGGATAATATGGGATATACATGTGAATCAATATAAAACATACATCAACATATCTATACATACTGTATATCATGAAAGTAACTCTAAGATTTGTAAGTATCTCAATATATCTTTCTATTCATGCACTCCGACCTACACAGATCAAAGATGTTCTTTTCTCAAAATATGTTTGAAGATACTCAGCAACGGATTCTGTTCACACCCCACTGCCGCCCCCGACAGGCGGCAGTATCCCTTCGCCCGCATCCGCGGGCAGAAGGTCAAGCCTCGAGATTTTCGTCGCAGCTGGAGGTCTGCACTGGAGGATTTCGGGGACAGGGAACCCCATCATTGTGGAAAGATACTATGGGATATATAATGAGATTTATAATGATATAATCATTACCATAATGGGATTTATAATGCTATCACCATGAATCATAATCATGTGATTATCATGGATGATGATGCATGGTGAATGATGGTGAACTGGTGGTTACTCCCATCCCCTATGGTGCCAAATATCTGATCTCATCCCCTACAGAAGCATGCTTTCTGGGTGTTTAATACGAACCGGGAGGGGATGAATTTCGGGGGCAAACCTCCAGAATGATGTGTTCAACATGTTTCAAGCATTTTAAGCAACAGCTCAACCCATCATGATAACGATGAATTCTGATTCATGGATTGGTTCGAGAGAAAATTGAGGTTGAAACGGTGATTGCAAGGCCTTGATGTCCAGTGTTTCATGTGGTAAACCCAATGATAAACCGACCATTTGGGGATGGTTTATACATGTTTATACCACCCATTTCTGGTGATGACGCGGTGGTTTATTGGCTTTGCCAAGCTATTTTGAACCCTGGCCTGATCCTTCAACTCGATCCACTGAGAACCCCCCACGCCGCAGGTGCTCGGAAGGATCCACGGGCGTCGGCAAGTCGCGTTTCTAGGCAAGCCACATTAGGCCAGTCAGGATCGGAATCAACAGGTCGACATCATGAGGGATCCTCTCATAGTTCGAATCAAGAACTGGTGAGGCAACAAACTTGGCAACGGCACCTGCTTTGGATTGGCAACTGCTCGAAAAAACCATCTCCAACTTGGATTCTTAATGGTTCCAGAATTCACTTCTCCCACCTATACCCTGTACCCCGGAATCCTTGGCAATAAAATGACAGTTTGGCGGCTAAGTCCATTCACCAAGCTGGTATTGAATGTTCATCCAAATATTCAAGAGCGAAAATAAATTAGGCACCCCAGTCACAGAAAAACACTAGAACAAACTTGGGGTTCCAGCACAGAGCGTTCCCCAACGATTCCATTTGTAGGCCCATTTGTTCCCCTAAATTTCCCTCAGTTGTGCAGCAAAAACTGGCTGGAAAAATCCGCCATCCCTCAAACCAACATCAACCCTGCCAAATAGAGGGTTGGAACACTACATTCCTCTTAAAAAATCTTCAAATCAGTAATTCGCAGGGTCTATGTGAGCTGGAGGGTTACAGTACATCAGTACCCTGGTTCCCCGATTTATATTTCCCTGGTTTCCCCCTGAATTTCCTACATCAAAGGTACCAAACCCCTGAGCCCCCAGACGTCCACCAGGCCATGTGCACTGGGAATGGCCTTGGAGTTTCATCTGGCGAAAGTTTTTCATTCCTGGCTGTGTCTGAAAATGGTGACTCCCCAAATGGTTTCATAGGAACCATTTATGATTAGCCAGTGGATTTGGGGATACACTATTTTCAGAACAAACCCTTACGTCTCTTGTGTTGTCTGAAAATTAGGGCATACAAACCATTGTGGGATACATTATTGATTACCAAACCCATGATTTTTGCTTGGGATACCCTCTGGTAAACTAACATAGCTATGGAAAATCACCATTTTTAATGGGTAAATCCACTGTAAATGGTCATTTTCAATAGCTATTTTGACATAACCAGAGGGTACACCCCATATGTCTTCTGGTGGATCACCATACCCCACCGAAAAATGTCAGGCATCGCCTCCTCGGGCAACCCGACCACTTTCAGCTCGAAGCCCGGTGCGGCGGGCGCTGGCGGCGTGGATCTCGCAGAGCCTATTGGGAGGGCGCCGCAGCAAGAAATTGGGGGGTTGACCTGACCCATATCATGGTTATATCATGGTTAATCATGGTAAATCCATGTAAATCCTGTGTGAAACGTGATTATATCATGGTTAATACTAATATCACCACAGAAAAAAAATAGATCAATTGAATTGATTGACCCATCAAATTTAATTGGTGATATAAATTCCTGTAGTGATGAAACCTTTTTTGTGCCCTCAGTAATTTTGAAGCATGGCCAAGGCCATGATCTCAAAGATGCCTTGCGATGAAGGCAAAATATGTGTGGGCCAGTGACTCCTATGATCTGGCCTTGGATGCATGCAATTTTTATCTGTCAACGCGGTTTTCTTAAGACCAAGCGGGTGTTCATCGCAGGTCTTGGCAAGCCTAAAGTCTAACACGCAGTTCCATTGAATGATGTTCTCAATGGTTTTTTAAATGAATGGAACGAGTGAAGGGACGATGAGTCAGCCAAACCCAGCTATCTCTCAAGTCATACAGAGCGATCAACCTTACACAATGTGGTAAACCCAAGTTTAAATCTCCAATGTGGGTGCTCAGTTTCTGATGAAATTGAGTGTGGTGGGTTGATCACATGATTTTTCATCAATGTGGGTAAAACAATGCCATAAAATATCCCCCGGATCACCATTTGTATTAGGTGGTACAAACCATTCCCAAATGGGTGGGTTATTTATTGTTTTACCCACATTACTACCCTTTGGTAAACTAACATAGCTGTTCAAAATGGCCATTTATAGTGGATTTACCCACTAAAAATAGTGATTTTCCATAGCTATGTTAGTTTACCCACATTACTAATGTCCACTTGATAACCTCCGATTCCGGATGATTCATCTGCGCTTGTCCCAGTTTTTGCCGAGCTGCGTCGAGGGTCGGCCAGAATCGGCTGCACTTGTGGTTGGCCGATGGCCGTGTAACCTCAACTGGATTAAGAGCAACATGGAGCAAACATCTCCATGTTAACCACAACCATCTCGGCAAATTTCAGGGGAAAGCTGCCTAAAATGAACTAAAATGAATGTTTTGCTGAAAATGTCAGCGTTTCCAAAGCAACTCATTTGACCATTCCAATTTCAATCATCGTCCAGATCCTGGGGCCTGAGACTGGTATGAATGCCACCACCAATGGATGCGACCCATGGCCTCGGTGTTTTACCACCGTCTTTTTTTTCCAATGAGAAAACCTCCATTGAAGGGATATTTAAGCCAAATCATGGTTTATAGTGATTTACCATTGTTTTACCATGGTTTACAGTGATTTACCGTCATTCTGCGTCCATTGTTCCCATCGGAAATTTCAACGTGCGTCATTTCGCAAGTTTCGTAAGGTGCAGTTCCTCCACATCCGTAGTGCTGTGACCCCGCACGTGTCTCCCATTTCACGACCTGTGGCAGCTCGCAGCTCAAGAGCTGAAAAACAATGTGGGTAAAACAATGCCATTTGCACCATCCCCCAGTCATCACAATTTTTAGAGGTGCTTTTATAGGTGGTATAAATAAACCATTCCCAGTTCATGGGTGGTAAACATGGCATTGTTTTACCCACATTAGACGTATTTGGCGCACAACACCAAACGTGCAGAACATGTTTGGCTCTGTTTCAAATTGGCATCAGTAATGGCTTCTTATGGCTGACCTTGGGTAAAGCATATTGCAACCTTCAGACAATTATGATCTTAGCCGAAAAAAATCTGACATAATTTATGACAGTTTTTCTCCGCAAAAAAAAAACGGGTTCTTGCTCCAACCTTCAAAAAGTGTGTTTTCTTTACCCACCAAAACCTGATTTATGGTGGTTTAATGGGATTCAATGGTGATTTACTGGTGATTTTATGATGGTTTAATGGGATTTACTGTACCCTCGGGTTATTTCACAATTCACGCATTTGGCGCATGAAAATCGGCCATTGACCACCCAAAAAACATGGCCTCCCCATTTGGCCGTGGCTTTGGCGCTGCTGGGACGGCGAAGCTCTTTCGCCACCCTGACTAGGCCGGGACGTCACCTTGCCATTTCACAATTAATTGGTTAATAATTGGTGAAATGCTGAAAATTAATTGCTTAAATTGGTTATACCATGTTATAACCCATATTGTCCATTAATCACCGTTAGAAACCAATTTGAGCAAGATCTGAGCAAGGATATCTTGGTGAGGCTACTGGCGACTCCCATTTTCCAACAGGAGCCTGGTGCGAAAATCATTCCAAAACAATCACCGTCTCCCTGGCCCCATTGGAAGGAGCGCCTTTTGCCATTGGAGGTTCCCTTCACCTTAGAGCCGAGTCATTGTCCCTTGCAGCTTGAAAGTTCACTCAGTTTTCATGGAGTTATGACTTCTACAAAAGTGGAAAAATCCCTGAAAGATCTGCGGATGGGATGTCGGGGATAAAGTCCACACAGTGCAGGAACCAAGTTCACACAGCATGAGGACTTGACTGAAGCGCTCCTTCCTTGAGCTGCGGACCTGCCAGGGGTTGCTTGAATTTGCATCTCAGTTTGTTTGATGCGGTTGGTAACACGGATACAGAGTGAAAAGAGAGAGAGAGAGAGCCGGGGGGAAAAAGATTCAAATATATATATATGTGTGTGTGTGTGGTACGTATAGTACGTAT